AAACACACCGAGCCCTGGGGCCTGGGATCAAAAGCTCCAAGTAGGGCAGTCCTGGAAACTTTTTTGCTGTTTGCAGGATGGGGGCAAGTGTTCAGACAACCTGGGTGGTTTCTCTAATTTCCCCCGGCCGAGAGAGACAATGAGACGTAGTAGGAGAAGCCCAGACGTTGCAATAGGATGGCCTGGCTTTGTCCCTTCCCAGCTGGGTAATCTCGGTCGAGCTACTTCGCAGGATGTTTTCTCACCAGTCAAAGAAGGGGGATTTAGTATCTGCCTGGCAAAACTGTGCTGGGAGGTGGATGAGATGATCTACTGGGGCTCAGTAAGTGATAACCAGCATTTTCCTGTGGAAGAGAATCAAAATGACAGGGGTATGAGTGGCACAACCTCCCCCGCCCCCCGACACACACACGCACGCACACGCACACACACACACCTTTCTTACGGCCGCAGCCAAATGGATTCTGTTCAAATACGTGTCAGATTTTTTGCCACTCTTCTGCTCAAAGTGCCCCAGTGACCTCTCACCCAAAGTCAAAGCCAAAGCTTCCACAAAGGCCACGGCCCCGCTGAGGTCTGCCCCCTCCTCACTAGCTGTCTCTGGCCTCATCTGTAACCATGCCTCCCCCTTGCTCCCCAGGCTCCTTGCTGCTCCAGAACCCTCTCCCCCTCCCCACTCCTGCCCCAGGGTCTTGGCACCACCACCCCCTCTGCCTGGAATGCATTTCCCCTTGACATCTGTCTGCAAGGTTTACCCTCTCTCTTCCTTCCCATTTTTCTCCAAGGCCATCCTGTCAAGGAGGTGTCCCCAGCCACTCTGTTTTAAATGGGGTCCTCCGGGCGCCTGGGTGGCTCAGTTGGTTAAGCGACTGCCTTCGGCTCAGGTCATGATCCAGGACTCCCTGGAGAGAGTCCCGCATCGGGCTCCCTGCTGGGCAGAGAGTCTGCTTCTCCCTCTGACCCTCCCCCCTCTCATGTGCTCTCTCTCTCTCTCTCTCTCTCATTCTCTCTGTCTCAAATAAATAAATAAAAACAAATCTTTAAATGGGGTCCTCCATCCTCCTCTCTCCCCCTTGCTTCATTTCCTGCATAGCCTGACTAGCCCCTCACCGACTGTGAACGCATTTTGTTGCTTATCTCCACTCACAGGGACAGAAGTTCTACAGTCAGGGGTTTTTGTCTATAATGTTCACATTCACAGCAATTCCCAGTGCCTGGGCACACAAGTAGGGGCTTCCTGTTTGTTGAATTAATACCTGAATGGAGGCAAGGGTTCAAGTTGGGGGGCAGTGCAGGTCAGGGGAGTGAGCCGTGGCATGAAGGACACATGGTCAATGTCCCTTTTCTCCAAATGAGGGAGTTGGACTAGACCCCAGAAGATCGTGAACCCCTGGGAAAAGTGCACATCAATGGTGAGTTCCTGCCTCCACGCATTGTTCTGGGATGAGGGTCCCTAACTTCTTGCGGACATTTAACAGAGTTCAGCATCATCCCTGCTCTGGTGTTTCCTGGTTGGATCTAATAGGCTCAAATCCTTGCTAAGAACCCACGATGCTGACGCTCCAGGATCTTATTCTGGTCTCAGTAGTGGTCCTGGCCCCAGAGAGGGGAATGGGAGCCAGAGGGGGGCCTTGGCAGGGTCAGCGCGGCGGGGGGGGGGGGGGGGGGGGGGGGGGGGGGCGGGGAGAGGGACACGCACGGGAGGGCACAGAGGAGACTTGTATGACTACATGTGCTGCCTTCTTTTTATTTAAAAGAATGTAGATGTAGAGCAAGTATGACAAAATGTGAACAATTGTCAACACCGGATGCTGGGCCCAGGGGTGTTTGTCACAGAGAGCTTTGTACTTTTTCTGTATTTCAAAAATTTATTTAAAAAAAAACCCCCACAGATTTGGAGGTGGGCAGGGCAGTTATAGCTCGTGAAGAGGCATAGAGAAGCTGTTTCTGGGGGGCCTGAGGGACATGCACTTTGGTCATTTTTCCGGAGTGTGTGTGTGTGTGTGTGTGTGTGTGTGTGTGTGTGTGTGGGCAGAGGGGACGGCCGGTCGGAGCCCATCCCTGGAGCCGTTGGAGCCCTTTCTTCCCTCCCCGCTGCTCCCCCTTCCCAGGTCTCAGTTTCCTGCCTTCCTGGGGAGCAGGGAAAGGCTGAGAGGCCCCGTGCTGGGGGTGAAGCTAATTCATTAGTGACGCTCGACAAGGACCGGGAGCCTGCAGCGCTCGCGTGATTCATCAACATGATTGCCCGGCTGCCAGCCTGCGTGGGCCCGGAACGCCAGCACATTTTACCTTTCCCCACCGAGAACGGCCTGGTGGGAGGTGAAGGCACATGATCTACCCAGAGCAAGAGAAAGACTTGGAGGAAAAAGACGGCTGGCCCCCTGTGCCCTTGAACCCAGGAAGCTCTGCCAGGCCGGTGCTGGATTTGCAGGGGCTCCCTGTGGCTCCTGCCATGTCCGTAGAGCCCAAGAGGGCCGCGGGCCGCCTGGTGCTGGAGTGCCAGTTCCGGGCATGTGGCAAGGGGGCTGGGGGGTGCTGGCTGGGCTTCCTCCTCCACAGTGAATGTTCCCTTGGGGAAACTGCTTGGGGGGGGGGGGGGGGGCGGGGGGGGGGGGGGGCGGTGAGGGGGAGGGACTCATGCTCTTCCCCAGTAGCCTGGCTGGGTTTTCTTCAGCTTTTTGGTCTCTTCTAAAAAGTTCTCCCAAATGAGTAGAAGAGTGGGTTGGGGCTTAGTTGAAGTCCGGAAGGAGCTCAGAACCCTCTTACACCCCAGGTCTGGTGTCCGGGCTCCGCTTAATCTCTGCCTGAGTCCCCTGCCTCGGCTCGGAGTCCCGCCTTTATTTTGAGAGTGCCCCTCCCAGGACAGGGGTCCGTGGCTGGGTTCCTGGCTCACAGCAATACCTGCCTCTGTCTCCCATCACCTGTTCACCCCATGCTTTTTCATCCCTTTATCTGACAAGTATATATGGTGCATCTGAGCAAAAGAAGCCAGGAACAAGGAAAAAAAAGAAAGGAAAAAAAAAAAGAAAAAATAGGCACCGAATAATCTCATTTATATGAAATTCAAGAACAGGCAAAACTGATCCGTGATGATAAAGGTCACACTCATGGTTGCCTCTGGGAGGCGGGGATTGACTGAAAAGAGGCTCAGGGGAGCTCTGAGTGATGGAAATATTACATGGGCGTTTATATTTGTCAAAACTCATCAAACTGTACACTTACAACCTCAGCATTTCATGGTATGTAAAGTTTGTTTCCATTTAAAAAATGTTAGAAGTTTTCACTGAATACCTACTACGTGCTAGACATGGTGCTGCAGCGAAGGAGATAAACTTGTCTGCCCCGGGAGGTGACATTCCAGCTTCCAAGTGGTTCTCATGCTCTCCTGGCATTGGCCACTGGTCTCTGCCCCTGGGCTGGCCTCCCTCTCTGCCTGCAGTGGGGATGGGGGTGGGGGTGGGTCAAAGGTCAGGGTGCTGCAGGGGACAGGGTCAGTTACATGGGCACACCAGCCAGGCTCAAGGGGAGGCAGGATGGAGGAGGCATCGAGCCTGCAGAGGCCGCTGCCTGGATGTAACTTCTACTGGTTGTGGTGACCTTAAGCAGGTTTCCTAATCCCTCTCAGGCCACTTTCCTCATCTTTCACATGGGACTAATGATGCTTTCCTTGTAGCTTTGGCAGGAGAGTTAGAGCCTCCGGGGTGAGAAAATTCGTTGTTTCTATAGGTTAGTGCGGTACATGATTAAGAGCACAAATCCCAGCCGCTCACCAGCGCGGTGACCTTGGGCAAGTCACCCAGCTCAAGTGAAACCCCTCAGAGCCTCAGTTTCTCCGCCTTTAACTTTGGGGTAATGAGGGTATCAACCTCAGACGTGTTGCAAGGATTCAGTGCAATGCTCTTAGTATAGCGCTGGGCACGTGGCGGGCTCGGAGGAAACGGGAGCGGGTGTTTCTGCCACGTGCTCTGGCAGGAGGGCTCTGAATGCGAGGGAAGGAGGCAGGGGCACACAGCTGTTGGTGGGAGCATGCGCAAGAGAGTTACAGAATGACAGTGGTCATCCTTGGTGGTGCTCAAAGGGGCTCACGTGTCCCAGTCCTCTGCCCACCGCAGCCACACGCAGACCTCGAACGCAGCTGGAGGGACAAGGCAGGAGACGCGCGTGAGCGCACTAACGAGGAACCTGTTGGCAGCGGGGGCGGGGGATTGGGGCGGAGCCCAGCCCGGGTCCCCACAAAGTCTCCGATGTGACCCACCCTGAAAAGGGCCGGAAAGGAACACCGCTCCGAGTTACTATCCTAAAGTGAGAAGGGGTGCAAGCCGTTGGCGACGAAGAGCCGGCATTGACCGCGCCCCTCAGTCCCTCCCCGAGAGCCACTCGGCCAGAGTCCCGGGTCGCGCGCCAGGTTTCCTAAGTCCTCGGTTCCTTCTAACTTGCTGCTCCGAGTCTACACAACCTCTCGCCAAACAGCTCGTCGTGCTAGAGGTGTAGACAGCGTCGGACGTCGTGTCGGTCTTGGCGCAGTGCCCGGCCTTCCGGGCGCGGACCTTGGGTTGCCTCGGCGTGCGCCGGCTCCCGGGGCGGGTCGCCTGGGCCGGCGGGGGGCGGGCCCGGGCGCCGGGACCCTGCTCCGGCGGCACCTCGGCCCCGCCCCGCCCCGCCCCCCCTCCGCCTCATTGGCAGCCGCACACGCGTCGGGGGTTGCCAGGGCGACGGGTCGCGGAGCCGCAAGTCAGCGAGAAGCCGAGCCAGTCGGCCTCCGGTGGAGGGAGCGGGGGAGGCCGGAGGGCGGGCGGCGCAGCGCGGCGGCGGGGCCCCGAGAGGGCGCCTCCTCCCCGGGCCGGCCCGGCCCCCCTCCCGGCGCAGGGACAGGCCGGGGCGGGGGGCCCCGGAGCCGGCGCGGCCTCGGCCCCGTCGGGGAGACCCGGGGGCGGCCAGGGCGGGGCGATGCCGGGAGGCGGCGGCGGCGGCGGCAGCGGCCCGGGCCGGGGCCCGTGACCATGGGCATCGCCGAGTCCACGCCGGACGAGCTGCCGTCGGACGCGGAGGAGCAGCTGCGCAGCGGCGAGCAGCAGCTGGAGCTGAGCGGGAGGCGGCTGCGGCGGCTGCCCAGCGCCGTGTGCGCGCTGAGCCGCCTGCAGAAGCTCTACGTGAGCGGCACCGGGCTGCGCGAGCTGCCCGAGGAGATCGAGGAACTGCGCGAGCTGCGCATCCTGGCGCTCGACTTCAACAAACTCGAGCGCCTGCCCGACGGCCTGTGTCGCCTGCCGCGCCTCACGCGCCTCTACCTGGGCGGCAACCGGCTGCTGGCGCTGCCCGCGGACTTCGCGCAGCTGCAGAGCCTGCGCTGCCTCTGGATCGAGGGCAACTTCCTGCGGCGCTTCCCGCGGCCGCTGCTGCGCCTAGTGGCGCTGCAGTCGCTGCAGATGGGCGACAACCGGCTGCGCGCGCTGCCCGCCGAGCTGCCGCGCATGACGGGCCTGCGCGGCCTGTGGCTCTACGGCAACCGCTTCGAGGAGTTCCCGCCCGCGCTGCTGCGCATGGGCCGCCTGCACATCCTCGACCTGGACCGCAACCGCCTGGGCGGCTTCCCCGACCTGCACCCGCTGCGCGCCCTGCGCGTCTTCTCCTACGACCACAACCCGGTCACTGGGCCCCCGCGCGTCGCCGACACCGTCTTCCTCGTGGGCGAGGGCGCCGTCGAGCGCATGGCCGAGCGCGACGAGCCCACGCCCCGGCCGCCGCCCCGGCGCCCAGCTCGGGCCTTTGAGGATGAGGAGGAAGAAAACCTACTCATAGGGGGCGGTGGCCCCCGGGCTCTGGGGCCCCCCGGGGGCAGCCTCCCCGCCCTGGAAGCCGCTCCAGGACTGGGCACCTGAGCCTATGCTCTGGGTGATGGACTTGGGCCATTCTGGGAGGAGGGGCTCTGGGAAGGTCTGTGGGAACGGTGGACCCCTACCTTGGGGCAGTGGAGGGGCCACTTGGGGCGAGCTGTAGGGACAGGCAGGCCTGGGCGTCATCTTCACATACGGTTGGTAAGCAGCCTACCACCTGGCTGGTCTCTGGGCAGTCCTCAGACGGAGAAGTCCTGGCTCGTCTAGTCCCCTCTGGCTCTGGCCCCTCTGATAGCGTCACTGACAGCACAGTGGGGATGCTGGCTTCCTCCTGGCGCCGTGTCCGTGCTCTCCCCAGAATCACCACCGCTGGCTGAGTCTGGATGCCCAGGGTGCCACACCAGCCCTCCTCCTCCTGGAGTTTGGATCTCCCAGACCCACCCTTTCTGGTGCAGGAGCAGCTACCTCTGAGGTGGACCGCATGCCCATGTGAGCCCAAACTGTCCTTGGAGGAGGGCCTGGGCCAAGCGCCAGTGCCCAGGACAGAAGTGGGAAAGTGGGATTGGGGCCCTAACACCGAAGCTGCCCTTGCCCCTCCACTGGGGCTCATCGCACATACCTCCCTTCCCAGGCCCCCTAAAACTTGCATGGGGGAGGGGGCGCTTAGAAGGCAGGGTCTCCACCCCTGCCTTTGATTCTGTTCTGTTCTCTTGTGCCTGGAATCTCGCTGGGAGCAGAGCGCTCTCTTCCCTCTTCCCCACAGCCTGAGCCTTCCAGCTGTCAAGTTTGAAAAGAAGCCACTGTGCCTCTAGGGCCTCCTGCGCGGAGGAGAGAGGCTCTCTGCTCTGGGAGGCTGTTCCAGCGCCTCTCCCACTGCCTGCACTCTCCATTCCCTTAAATGGGCACAGTCGGGGTGGCTGGCACGGCGTGGGGCATGGGACAAGCACTGTGTGCCTCCACTCCGTCACCAGGGACAGCCTCAGGGGGTGAGGAGTGGGGTGTCGTTCTGCAATTCCCAGGGCCAGATCTTTCCCATCCAAGCAATAACGGAAGGAGGGGGCCAGGGCTGGGGACACTCAGGGACACGGTCAGGGGCAGGGGCCCCACGTGGTAGTGTTTTCTTTAGGAAGAAAAAAAAAAAACTGGCCGTAAACATAAATTATATTTCTTGGAGAAAGAATGTGCGTTTCCCACATGCCTGTTTATTTATAAGCCCTGGGAGCACCGGGTCCCATGGCTGTGGGGAACCTGGGCTCCCTGTGGCACTGCGGTCTTGCCCGTGTGCACCAGCTCTGCGTCAGGCCGGCCATGGCCAACAGTTGTGTCCTGCCTGGGGACCAAGCGCCTGTCCTCAGTTACATTTGGCTTTGGCTGCTCGAGGCTGGCCTCCTGTCTCGCTCTCCCTCACTCTGCCCGCCAGGCACCCCCCCCCCAAACTCCCTTCCCTGTTCTTTCCAGCTTGCTTCGAAGGTTCCCAGCTCTTAATGTAATCGGAATCTCCCTCAAGCTGGGGCTGACCTTTCTCTCTTCTTTCACTGGTACTCAGCCCCCTCTCTCGCCTCCCCTCCATGTGTCTATTCTTCCCTCCTTCCATATCCCTCACTCCGTTTTCCTTTTTCTTAGTCTCTCCCTCTTTATCTCTTTTTTACTCAGTTATGGTATTACTTTCTCCCCTCATTGTTCTGGGGGAAAAAAAAAAGAAAGTTTTAAAGAAAACATCATAAAGCCTCAAGCCTAGAGGCCCATCTCCTCATGAGAAGATGCTGCCGGGCCACCATGACCATGGCAACAGGGCTGATGTCATACAAGGCCCAAAGGCCAGGTCTGGCCCAGCAGCTCTGTTGGTCACCGGACTGGGCCTGGGTTAGAGGGGGCTTGGGCTGGCTCTGGGAGCAGGCGGCTTGCAAGTGAGAGAGAAGGCCTCGAATGGACAGAAGGAGCGGGTGGGTGGGGCAGACTGGAGGCTGCTGCCTGCTCCAGGAGGATGAGGGGGTCTGGGGCTCAGCTGCAGACCTTTTCCCTCCTGGGACTCTTCAGGTGCCCCTGCTCCCCTGGCTGGAGCTCCGTCAGGGTCAGTGGACCTTCCTGGGGTCTGGGAACTTGGCGGAAGGAATTTGAGATCTCAAGAACACTCGAGGTAGGAACTGCACGCAGCCGGCCAGAGACTGTCCTCTTGCTCCGTGACTCAGACCGTGGCAGAGAGGAAATAGCCCCGGGGCCGGGCTCAGAAGGCGTGGGTTCCAGTCCCAGTTCTGCTATTGGCCAAGTCACTTGGAGCACGTCGTGGTCCCTTGGGCCTCGGTTTCCCCATCTGCACACACGATGTTGGGTTCATTTACGTGTGATGCTACAGCTCAGAACGTCATGCAGCCTGATGTTTCTCTATCTCCCTTCATGCAAATCTTAGACACAGGGGAAGTCAGGGTGCGGGAGGAGCCACGTCACCCTGGAATAATGCTGGCCCCCATAGCCCAGATTTCCTTCCTCTCGCTGGTGTGTTTCCTTGTACCTCTTCCCCTGCTGCACCTGCCTGAGAACTCTAGGTGAGGCAAAGGTCCCATGCATACCCCCGGGGCCATGTCCAGGCCCAGAGGGCCCCCTGCCTTTCTGCACTGTCAAACGTGGCTCCCTCGTCCTTGGCCACTCACTAGCCAAGCAGGGGCTGCCAAGGCTGAGCTTCTCTCCAGGGAGAGGAAGCACCTGTCGGGGCCCAGTTCCTGGCTTTGCTACTTGCTTGCTCCACTACCAGAAGCCAGTTCCTCTCGGGAAATGAGACAGCTTGGTTAAAGTGGGCGCTAACTCCTGGCTTGAGAGCACTATCGAGTGTCTGCGTCTCCATCTGGAAATGGAGAGACCAGGGTGGGAGGGGGGCCGTTGCCAAGGACAGCTGGGCATCACAGATCCCCTCAGTGCTGAAGAGAGCACAGCATTGGGAATCCTAGTTCACCCCCCACTCAACTGCCTGCGACTTCTCATTTGGCCTTGGGGGAGCAGGGAGAAGGGGAAAAGACTTTTGGAGGGGCATCTGTAACGGTGGCCATGTGTGCAGCGGCCCGGCTGGTGCGGGGCAGTCAGCGGTGGGCGGGCCTCGGGGGAGCATGGTGGGGTAGCTCTGCAAGAACTGTATGTGTGCCCAGGGGTCAGGGATCAGAGCTGGAGGGCAGGCAGTGGTGACCGTGATGACAAACAAGCAGAGGCAGTGGCAGGGCTAGGAACAGGTCCAGGGAGGGAAGGGACTTGCTCATCCAAGGGGTTCAGGCCGCCTAACCCAGGGCTAAATCCACACCATAGGAGACCCCTTCTGTCCTAAGCTGATGGTCAGGTCTCCGTGTGGAATGGGTGGGAACTTGCCCTCTCCTGGAGCCTGGCCAGCAGAGCGGCAGAGACGTGTGTGTGTGTGTGTGTGTGTGTGTGTGTGTGTGTGTGTGTCCTTTCTGAGCTTTGTTACAGTCATCCCCTGCTTCCCACCCATTCTCTGGGGCTTGGGAGAGCAGAACACGGTGCTTGGGAACTGGGGGCCCTGCGCAGACCCCCCTCCTGCCTCCAATGCCACCACACTGGCTTGCTCAGCCACCTGTCCCAAAGCTTCCTTAAGACAGACACCCAGGCACTCTTGTTCTGAGGATGGACATTTATTAGCACACCCGGGCGTGCCACACGGAACATGTATTCAGACAGGGGTCCCTGCCCAGGGGGGCTTACAATCTAAACAAGACACAACACACGCACACATACACACACACGCAGGACACAGACGCAGGGAGTGGGGCATCTTCAAGGGACACGGATGGCCAGGGGAGCCATGGGCTGGGGCGCACAGCGTGTTCAAGCATCGTCCTTCCGTTGTCTTTGTGGGGGAAGGAGTGGAGAGCAGGACGTGGCCCAGGACGGCCTTCGGGAAAGCAGTAGCGTCCAGGAGGGACTTGCGTGAGGAAGAGCACACCAGAGGACAGGGGTCCCAGGCACAGGGAGAGATGGGCAGATCTCTTGGTGAAGGCATGGATACTGGGAGAGCCAACAAGGTGAAGGCGGGCAAACCAGGCAAAAAGTCCAGGAGGAGCCCCGGAGCCCCGCGCGAGGAGCTGCTGCGTCTGCCAGGTTGTGAGGGGTCCTGCTTTCGGGCCCAGCTTTCCAGAGAGGTCCTGAACAGAAGTTCTGGCAAGGCATGCTCTTCAGGCTACTTACCTGACCTTAGGGCTCCCTCTAATCTCTGGGACAGAGATCAGAAGCCAAAAGAAGAAAACCACCTTTTAACGGGACATTGAAGCTGAGTTGGAAGAAATTCGTGGTGGGGAAGGGGACAGGGCAGGCAGCTTTAGGTGGGGGTTCTTGGTGCAGCGCAGGGAAGCAGTTGCCCACCCCAGGTGCTGGGGAGCAGGGGTGCGGTGGCCCTCTTCACTCTGGAGCGGGGCAAGGCCAGTAGGTGGACACATGGTAACAGAGGCGCACTTGTTCCTTTTGTGTCTGCAAAAGATGTAGCACCTTCCTTCTAAAGTAGCCTGAGAGCTGCCAGGCCTCGGCTTCCCCTAGGCTGTGTGGGGAGGGAAGGGAATGGGCTGGGATGGTTATTGCTCTTTTGTGAACTAAGGACACTGGTCCCGGGGAAGGAAGTAACTTGCCCGGGGACCACAGCGGCTGGAGAAGGAAGACACTGGGCCCCAGCTTCCTCAGACTGGGACTGGCCATGGCCTCTTCTGAGTTGGAAAGACTCTTCTAATCCTAAAGGATTAAACCGGGAAAGGGTGGAGAGAAGCCAAAGATCCAGCCAACAGATCTGGAACTCTTTCCTGGTCCCCGCAAGGACCGGGAAGGAGACGCTGGTCCAAAACCACGACGGGCCAGTCAACATTCAGGGGGTGGTAGGCAAGGTGGAGGGTCTTGCTTTGGATTGTCTGACCTGCCTTGGAGGGTGGTGACGGTCCCCTGGGAACTGAAGGAGGTCATGCTGGACTGGGTGAGCTAGAGGGTCTCAAGGAGACTCCGCTCCCGACAAGCCTCGCTTCAGGCCTGATCAGGAAATATGGCTGCTCTCCTGTTTTCTGGGCAGCTGGTGGGTTCATACTCTAGATCTGAGGAGGGGCTGGAAGCTCAGGGAAGGCCTCCTCACCAGTGAAGCCAAATCCCAAAGGTGACAAAGGGAGACTCAGTCCCAGGCTCCCCATTCCCCTCACCCCACTGCCTCTTCCCCTGGGAGGTGAGGTAGGGCTGGGACCCACGGAGGAAACAGCCGAGGCCCTGCTTTGTCATGATCCTTTATTGATCAGAACGAGCCCTGCCACAAAAAGCAGGGCCCATTCCCACAAAAATATGATTTTGCAAAGAGGAAATCTTGCTGGCTTAGAGGGTGCGTGTGGTGGAAAAATTTTGTATGGTTCTTTTTCCTTTTTTTTTTTTTTTCTTCAGTTATCTCTTCATTTCTCTTTGCTGCAATTTTTTTTTCTTGCGATAGTGGGTTTCTGTCTCTCTTTTTTTCTTTTTTTAAAATAAAACACTTGCACTCAAGGACTCCAACACAATAGAAACAGCGGCCACCAACCCCACCCCTGGGGCCCCAGCTGGGCTGGGGGCTCTGGGGGCCTCCTTGGCTTTTTTGTGGCTGTTTTCCTTGTCCCTTCCCTGGCGTCTGGCGCCAGTGGGCAGGTGCGGGGTGCTGTGGCAGGTGGAATTTGTCAGCAGTTACGTAGGGAGATGGTCACAAGAAAGAATACCTGAACAAGATAACAACTAAGTCTAGGGCACCCACAAAGACGGCAGATGACGCTCACGAAGGGACCTGGGACACAGTGGAGAAGAGACAGATGGGCCCAGGCCAGCCTCGGCTATCCTTGGAGACGCTGCAGGGAGAGGGGCAGGTGGGCCTTGCTTTCAGGCTACAGTAATAATACTTTGCTCCCGGGTAAGCACCTTCACAGTCCTCCTGCCTCAACCCCCAGGTCTGGTGACGGCGGCCTCACAACCTCCCCTATGAGGTAGGTGAAGTATTATTACCATCATTTTACAGATGGGGAAACTGAGGCCCCGGGAGTGTGGGTGATCTGCCCAAGGTCCTGGGATGGTGGCAGGGCTTCTGTGCCCTTCCCCCCCATCCTCAAGTTCCCCCATTCCCTGTTCTCCTCTAGCCCTAGCCCACCCCCGCCCTCACCGCATACCACCCGTCTCCTCCTGTACCAGCCCACCGGACCCTTGGCCCACCACCTGTCGCCCCTCCGCGGCCTCCCGGCGGCGGCGTCTCTGGGGCTTGGAAAACCCAGGCAGGTTTCACTGGTTCACCTGTTTGCCTGGGTGGGTCAGGTTGGGAACAGACTCCGCCCGAAGATGCTCTCTGCATATGATTGGCTAAGAGCCCCGTCGGCGGGGCTCGGAAAAAAGAGATGCAGTTGCCCCGCCCACTCGTTGCAGGTTGGTTCAATCCCTCCCCCCAGGGCTGCGCAACAGGCAGGGAGCCATGGGGGCGGGGCTGGCACCGCGCGGTGGAGGGGCACAGGATCTGAGGGAGGGATGGAGGAGGACAGATCCCTCGCCTTGCAAGGCTTCCCACAAAACCCTCTGATCCCTTCCACACAGCCTTCGGAGTTGCTGCCTTCCCGTCCCGCTGGGGGGTCTGGTCCCCAGCCCGCCCAGTAAAGACCCTGCGGTTGGGGCAGGCCCCCATTTTAAGCAAAGCTACAATACAGAAAAATTGGGATTTACAAGGAATGTGGGTGACTATTTGCTTTACAAGAGCACTCTTCAATCTACGAAATGATTCACCTACGCTGTATGATATTCCTCCAGATCCTTAGGGGGAGGGAATGGGGGCAGGGGTGTGAATTTCAGTGTAATACATTTTGATACGGGCAGCTCAAGGGGCAGCCTACTGAAAGAAAATGGCTCCCAAGTTCCCATGCTTTTGCCGTGCTCTGTAAGGGGGGACCCTATCCAGAGTCCCCCCTTGGGGTCAAGCCCCTCTCCGGGCAGAACTGTGGTCCCAGGCCGCGGCCACCGACGTGGTGTCTGGGCGCCACCTGGCGGCCTGTGCCGGAAGTGGCAGGCCCAGGCGGGCGGACCCCTGGACTTGAGACTGTTGCCCGCCGTCTTGTATCAATACCAGGACCCTCGTGGGGCTGAGCAGGCTTAAGCAGGGATCATCCCGGAATCTGCTGTCTCCAAGGGGAGGCCAGTTTTAGTCTCTGCAGCAGCCGAGGCAGAGAAGCCCTGACTTCTCTGTGTGGGGCAACCTCAAAACTTGTAGAATCTGGACTTCTGCCTGCTTCGTCTGCCTGAACTGAGAGGGGCAGAAGGAGCTGCTCTGAGGGACTGGGAGCAGTGGGGAAAGAAGGCTGGGCCAGAGACTCGGCCCCCGAATGGAAGGGAGGGAGGGAGGGAAGGGAAGGGAAGGTCTGCGAGAGCTCGGGGGATGGAGGGGTGGCAGAGGGCTGCACAGACAGGGAAGGAATCTGGGAAGCACGGAGAATTTTGCCAACTTGGCTGGGATCTGAGATCTGGGAAGGCTGAGGGTGTCTGGGCCAGGGTGTTAGGGAAGAGAGCTAGTGGGGGCTTGGGACCCCTGAGAAGGAGAGGAGGGGGTCCTGGTGGAATGTGATACACGCAGTAGGTGCCTAAAAGCTGTGAAATGATGTTCAAGAGGTGAAATTGCTCGGCAAGGCGCAGAGAGGGGCAGCGGGTGGGGGCGGCGGGAGCAGCCAAGTTCTCGGGCCTCTTCCCCCGCCCCCCATTTCACTTCTCACCCCTCACCGGCCTCTCCTTGCCCATCCCCCGCTCTGTGCATTGACCTCTCTTGGCCTCCTACCCTGCCTCACTTTATGAAAGCCTGCCTTCTTTGCACGGCTGGCCCCAGGCGGACAGGGGAAGCGTGCCCCCACCCCCATACACACACACGCGCGCACACACGGTGGATGCGACACCAAGTACATGGGCTGTGGCTCCAGGACCCTGGAGCAGGCTATATACTATCCTTGGCATTCAGGGCCCAGCCGGCACCTGAAACTGCCCTGGGACGGGCCTCTCCTGGCCAGGCCGGGGCCAAACGCCTCGGCCTCCCCTCTCCTGGGCCCACATTGGGAGCTGGGGAGAGGGCAGCTTCTCTCCACTCCAGGCACTGCCTGAAAGAAAACGGGGGACCGTGCCCACCTGGCGGGTCTCTGGAGGGATCTGCCCGTCTGCCTGTCTGGACTTCACGCTCTCCCCCACTTCTTTAGTATCAGCAAGTCAGGAAGGAAAGGGGCAAAGCAGGAAAATGGCTCCCAGAGCCCCTCCCCCAGAGCTGGACCAGTGGAGGATGAGGCTGGTACTTCCTAGAAACGGCGCCCAACTGACTCCTGGGACCCCTCCCTGGCCAAGCCCTCAGGGTCCTCCCCTCACCTATGGCGGGGGGCCAGGCCGGGCATTGTGCATAAAGTGGTGAGGGCGTGATGGGGACCCGGGCCCTCGGCCCCCTGGGCCTCCCGTGGCCACACTTAGGCCTTCAGCTGGTGCCACTGGGCCACCGGCTGCCGGGGACGGGCAATCATGTCCTTCCAGTGCTTCACCTCCCCAGGCCCGCTCTTCCAGGACAGGTAGATCTGGGGAGAAAGGGAAGAGCACAGTCTCAGTGACACTCTTGGAGGCATTGTCCCCTGCCCCCACCAGGGGGTGACGCTCCAGCTCCTCACTGGCACCCTAAGATCATGATCACGGGGACCAGGGGGCCTCCGCCTACAGTGACAGCCTACCCTCAGAGGCTCCCTCCTTCCTCCCCGCCAGCCTGACCCATTTTCCTTGCTGTGCCTCCCTCTGGGTGCCTGGGCACGCCTGGCCCTTCCCAATTAGACTCCTGACCTGTTTTGCGGTGGGGGTGGAGGCAGGTGGCCCCATGCCCTTCCCTGCCCTGTTGGCCACTGTCTGCCTCTTCTCACTTTCCATTGCTCCCACCTCCTTGCCACTTACAGCACACCAGGCACTGAGGTCAAGGCCTTAAACATACAGGTCACCGAATCCTTACCCGTGAGGCAGGTATATTATCCCCGTTTTACAGATGGAGAAACGAAGGTGCAGAGAGCAGAGACTCACCCGGAGTCATGGAATTAATAAGTAGTACAGAGGAATTTACATCTAGGCCTTTCTGGCTCTGGACTACCAGCCCCACCCAGCTGGCTTCTGTTTTAGGGGCTTCGCAGCCTCGCGGAGCTGTGTGCATGGTCCCCCCAGCTGACCCCAACCTTGTGACTGGAGGCTGGTTAGAAGCCTAGGGCTCCCTAAGGGACCCAGGCCAAAGTGAGAACCAATCCTCCTCCACCTTGGCTCAGTCAACAGAAGGTAGGATGGGTTTCAGAAGGAGCTATACTTGGTTATCTCAAGAACACCCAACTCCAAAAGGCTAAGCTTCCAAAGAGCTTCGAAGTGGATATGGTTACTTGGCCTGAGCTGATCAAGGCGGGGGCTCAGCAGGCTGCAGGCCTGCTCGGAACACAGGGTCCCGCTAGGGTATGGGTGTCACTGCCCTGAGGAATGGTGCCACCTGTGACCACAGGTTGGCCGGGCCTGTTTCCGGGGCCTTGCTTTGAGGTCAGCTGCTTCCCTTAGCCCCAGTAGCGAAGTTCTCCATCCCTGTCTGAAAGCAGCCTCCGTCTTGGCCTTTTTCCCATGGGGGTCCGGGTCACTCCTCGTTTACCCCATACAGGGCCGTGCCCCAGGTGACGCATATTTTTTCCTCACGTGCTCCTGGCATCTGCCCTTCCCCTCCACCTGCCCTCATCCCTGGCTTCCTGCACTGCTCCTGGTCAAAGCTCCATGCCCCAATGGACAAACATGCCCATAATAGGAATGCTTCAAAAATAACTTTTATTATAATGGCAGGTAACACATACATTCTAAGCACTGTACCAAGCATTTCACCCATGTTGTCTTATTTAGTCTCAGCACACTGTGAGGTTAGGACTGTCTTACTTTCATTGTGGAAATGAAATGGGGCTCAGATAGGTCATGGCTGTCAAGATGGGGGCTGGGCCCAGGCAATCTGATTCCCAAGCCCAAACTCTCAACACTAAACCATAAACGAACACGGGGATAAGACATTTCAAAGTACAGAAACTGAAGGGTTTATGTCACAGAATGACATCCTAGAAAAACTCAAGGCCAGGCACATGGCTTTTTTTTGATGAGCCTATGATGAGGAGAGGTCACTTTCTACAAGGGGAACATCTTGTAGATGTTCTCAGGCAATTCTCATACCACCCTGTGAAAGCTAGAAGGTTGGTACTATTGGGTCTGTTTTATAAATGGGGACACTGGACATCAGAGAGACAAGTGGCTTGTCCAAGGTCATACAGCTATTTAGCAGCAGATGAGGTGGGAACCGAAGCCAGGTCTTTGGACCCGCGGTCCGACTGCGGGTCTTGACACTGCCCCACAGAGCTCACCCTCTGAAGATGGGACCTGGGTGACACTGCTCTGAGGTCCTCACCCTGCCTGAGGATCCTGTCCAGAAAACTCCCTTTTGGGGACCCAAGCCACGTCCTTCTTCCACTTCCTCGTTTCCCTGCTCTTCTAGTGGCCTGTCCTGAGCTGATCAACCCACAGTAGGACACTTAGGGAAGATTTTGTCCTATCCCCTCATTTTTCGATGAAATGGAAGCCCAGAGAGGGGAAGGGACTGGCCCAGCCCTGAGCTCAACCACCGCCTCTGCTGCTTCCTGCGAGGACAGGTGTGTCACCCCACCCGCCAGGCGCCTACCTTGCCAATAACGTCGTTGCGGCTAAGCTTGTCCTTGTCCATGACAGTGATAATGATGGTCGTCTCCCTCAGCTTCTCCGTGGGGATATCAAAGGCAAAAGACTCGTTGAAGATGGGGTTCAGGTTCCTCTTCATCGTCACCGTCTTCTTCTTCTCCACCCGCTTGTCTTTGTACATCAGCCACACCTTCACGTAGGGGTCTGGGGGACGGGTAGACGAGAGGTCAGAGAGACCGTGTGGGGGCTCCCTGGGATCCCCTTCCCTCTCCAGGAGTAGCAGCCGGGGCAGGAGGGGCTGTATGCTTTCCCCAGATGGTGAGGAAAGCCCCAAGCAACGAGAGGGATCTGGGGGACCAGTGGATGGACAGACTGGAAGGGACCCTGGCCACCACCTAGTGCCCTATTATGAACAAGGAAACTGAGACGCGCAGAGGCCGGGTCTTGCCCGAGGCCACAGACGACAGGTGTTTGAGCTGGTGCTGGAGCCCAGGTCTCCCACCACAGTGCTCCCCTTCTCCTTGATTCTGGTCAGGGCAGAGTCCAAGATGAAACAGACCCTAAGGGTGCTCCAAAGGGGGTCCCCCTAGGGCTCTAGGGCATCGGAGTTGAGACCAGAGGTGGGGGTGAGAGGCTCAGGCGTGAGTGCCACAGCTCAGACCCCGCTCTCCACATCCAGCATGACCATCATGTCCTCAGAATCTCCCCGGTCCATCCCACCCCCACCCTCTGTGTTGAGAATCCCCAGAACCTGATGTGCCCCCGATGTCCATGGCTTTGAGGTTCCGGGCTTTGATGATGTTCACGATGATGGAGTTGGCAGAGGGGTTGTAGCAGAGAGACAAGAGCAGCTCCCCTCGGCTCCCCTGGGAGGGGAAGGTTGCGGGTGAGCCTGGGCTGTGGGGAAGGGTGTCCCCGCCCCCCACTTGCCTTGGCTCCCCTGGGAGGGAGAACAGGAGCGGTGTGGGGACGAGGGGAGAGGGGACAGTTAGAGAACTCTCCGGCTGGCCCCACTGCCCCAGGTCCCTCCCTGTCCTGGCCCGGGTGCTCACCCACCCCCATCTGTCACTTCTGTCACACCTGGTGTCTCCTCACCTAGCAGTTCTGTGCACTGCCCCCCGTGGGCCCCCTCCTCCCTACACAGGTGCCAGGTCCTTTACCACAGCTCAGGCAGCTCCCCCCAGGGGCCAAGCTCCGGTGCTGAGACCAAGGGTGGGAACTCTGCACCCTGGGTGCCCGTTTGCGCCTTCCCCACCACCCTCCTGACATCACCAAGGTTGCAGGCGGACTAGGACCCGATCTGCCGGCCCTGACCTGCCAGCTCCCCAAGCCAGGGGCCCACAAGTGGGGCCTTACACTCCCATCGCTGCATGGCTTCAGATCCTTCCAGAAGGTCTGCATCTGGGTCAGGTCCACCTTGTTGAGAGGGATGGACACTTCCCCAATGGGGTCATTGCGGCTGAACCGGTCATAGTCCAGGACCTGGAGGTAGAGGATCCTCTGCACCACCTTCTCGTAGGGGAAACCTGGTGGACAGACAGCACGGGTGAAGAGGGGGACAGGGGGGCCACACGGGGCCTGAGCAGGGCGACGCTCCAGGGCACAAAGTCCCTGTGCCCTGTGCCCACCTGCTGCCACCCCACTGAGGTATGGTGTGCAACAGCTGAATTCAGACCTTCCTGAAGCATCCTGTCACCATCACACTTGTCCCTCTTGACAACTCTGCAAGGTGGACGGCATCTTGTACATTTTACAGATGAGGAGACAGAGCCTTGGATGGCTTACATTACCTGCCCGCAGTCTCCCAGCTACTAAAGAGCAGAACTGGGACCATTTATGCACTCCTGTGTCACGCGTCTGTCTTGGTGGCTGGGCAGGGGCCCCTCTCTCCCCGGGCAGCCCTGCCAATGCCCATCATCCCGGGACAAGCCTGGACAAGTGGCACTGTCCGAGCCGGCCTCTGCCTCCAGAAAGCCAGCCCCAGGAGGCCTCGGGCGGAGGGGAGTGGCAAAGACACAGAAACAGGAGTGAACGCGTGTCCTCGGATGCTGCACTTCTCCCTCCAGTGATCAGCCTGTCCTTCACTGTTCCTCAACAGATCCCGAAGCTGTCCTTCTCCACGGCCACCTCCCTCATCCCAGCTGCTGGTACATTCTGCCTAGACAGTCACCAGAGTTTCCAAACCTCCCCCCCTGCTTGCGCACTTTCTCCTGCCGTCCATTGTCAACACAGCAGAGTGATCCCTTAAAAATAGAAATCCCATCACAACACTCTCCTGCTTAAAGCCTTTCAGTGGCTCCCAGCGCACTTAGAGTAAAAGCTGCGCGCCCTGACTTGGCTTTGAGTCCCTCAGTACAACCTGGCCCGCTGTCCGTTCCCGGCCTCTCTGGCAAGCACTCTCCGCTCAATGACGGGCTCCAGCCACACCAGCTTCCTTCTCCGAGTTCTAGTACCCGGTGTCTCCTGCCTCGAGGTGCCTCCACCACCTGCCCTGGCCGAGACAGGTCTCGGCTTTCCTCCCTGACATCCCAGATGGCGTTGGGTCCCCTGTTCTAGATTCCAGCACTTTCTTTTCACATCACGCACCACGGGCTGTACCAGAGACTCAGCTGTTTCCTTGGGCCTGACTCCCACCAGGCTAGGATTTTTCAGGAAGCACTCTCTGCCCTCACCCATGAGATTCCAGCATCCAGCAGTTTCTGGCACATAGTAGGCACTCGGTAAATATTTGTTTAAGTGAATCAATACTTGTAAAGATGAATAAATGGCAGTCAAATGGCCTAATGGAGCGGCAAGAGTGTGTTGGGGGGGAGCGGGTGAGGAGGCTTCAGGGGGAGCCAGGGGAGGGAGCCTGAGGAAGGGCTGAAGCTGGAGTCATTGGGCCTGGGGAGGCTTGGTCTCCTCTGAGGAAAGGCCGGCCTGGGAGGCACAGGGGGTGCAGGTCAGCCTGGAGGTCTGAGGTGGTGAGATCCTGAACCACAGTGTGAGCAGGAAGGAGAGAGGACACCCGACGCCTTAGCCTGGCTGGTGGAGAAGATGTGGGGAGAGGAAGAGCTCTGGAGGACTCTAGCACTTTCAGCCAGACGCTAGCAGCAGAACTGCTTCTGACGGGAGCAGGTGTGCTGGAAGAGGAAGTCCTGTGTTCCCCAAACTCCCAGCCCTTGAATTCCGTCAGGGCTTCCTCCTCCCTCCAAAGGGGGCTACATCTTGCTCATCTCGGGAGTCCCCGGGGACCTGCCCAGTTGACCTTTGGCATTGATTCAGGTGAATGGTTCTGGAAATGTTGGAGGCTCCAAGAGGTCCCCACATCAGAGGCAGCTCTCTTCAGCCGCAGAGGAGGTAGTTTTTTATTTAGCAAACACCTATTCTTCCGTCAGAACCCATCCTGAATGGCCCCTATTCTGGGAAATGTTTTCCAGCACCAACAAGGGGAGCAGAGAGTGGGTTCCCACAGCATCTGCCACGCAGAGTATGGCTTGGTTGTCTACACACCTATGTCTTCCACTAGATCAGGAATGCCTTGAGGGCCAAATGGTGCCCCCGACTTTTCTGCACCCCCCCCAGTCCCCAGGACAGCGCCCAATCCATAGTTGGTGCTGGATAAACGTCTGCCCAAGAGACCAGGGGATTGAAGCTCTGCCCATAAATCTCGCCCCACCAGCTGGTCTCATACTCCTCCAGAGCGCTGAGCCTCTCCCATGTCTAAACCGGCCACCACGCTGAACTGGGAAGGAGAAGGGTCCTCCCGTCCCCCGACAAGCACCCACTAGCTCACCCTCAACGATCCATCTGAGGTGAGCTCGCTGTCACCTTGCAGAAGGGGTCGGGTGTCAAACGGCTGGGACACCAGGTGGGGAAGATCCCCTGGGGTGCACACTGAAAATTCTGGAGCACCGAGGCAGCTGGTGGTGGGAGGGATTTATTCTCACTGGCTGAACATGTCAGGAAAGGATAAGGGCTTCTCTAAGCGGAGTCCAGGCACCAAAAGGGCCCGGGACAAAAATGGCTCCCTGAACACAGCCCAGCTTCCTGGTTACCTTGGCGCCTCAGAGGTAAGAGACAAAGACGGCCTTCATAGGGGGTGTGCAGGAGAGAGGAAGGGCATCTGCCTCAGCGGCCTCTAGGAGCCAGGAGCATGGTTCAGAGCTGCTGTTGCCATGCGTCTGGATGTGGGGCAGGGGTGCGGGAGGAAGGGCTCAGAGAACGGGAACAGAGGGTGTGTCTTCAACAAACTGGTGTAAAGGGTTTTCTGGGTGTTATAAGGGCTTTCACAATTCGCTGATTTGTTTCGTCCTTGTATTACCATCCGTGTTTTACAGATGCAGAAACCACGACCCAGAGACGTTCAGGGACTTGCCTTGGTCACAAAGCCAGAGGGGGCGGAGCTGGGTTTCCAACAGCCGGCCTGGGCCAGAGCCTGTACTCTGGGCCACTACACTACTCCCGGGGTCCCCCTCTGGGTCCTGGCCCGCCTCCCTCCCCGCCCGGCTGCCCCCCTCAGGACGAGTCCTGCGTCCGAGCTGAGACCCCAGGCGCCGGGTCCCGGCTGGGCTCCTCGGCCTCCGGTTCTGCTCCGCCACCGGCGGGCCCTGTCACCTGACCGCAGCTAGACACGAAACGCCTCAGGTTGGCTGGCCTGAGACACGTGCCCGTGTGGGTGAGCGCGCGCATCGGTGCACACGTACATGCGTGCACAGCGGCGCGTACATGCGCCCCTGGGTGGGGGGCGTGGGGGAGGGGAAGGCGGGACTCGGGGTGGGGGTGGGGGCGGGGGCGGCACCGGCCTCACCTTCGAAGAGGAAGGTCTCGTTCCAGTGGGGGTTCAGGTTCTTCCGCTTCACCTTGGTCTCCAGCTTGTGCTTCTTGTCTGGCAGCAGGTAGATCTTGACGAAGGGGTCGCTGGTGCCGCTGAAGTCCTTGGCGGGCAGCTCCTGGGCCTTCATGATCTTCACGGTGAGCGTGGACTCCTGGAAGTTGTAGCCGACGCTGAACTGGATCCGGCCCAGGTTCTCCCGGCTGCAGCCCTCGTGGGCCTCCTCCTCTTCGGAGCCTGGGGAGAGCTGGGGGCGGGGAGGGGGGGGGAAGGCGGGCAGGGTTGGGGAGGGCTCTGCTCCCGCCCCCTCCACCCCGGGGGGGGCCCCCACCACAGCCCAGCACAGTTAGGAAGCCTCCCTGGGCCTGAAGAGCTTGCTTTCCCTCTGGTCACCACGTGGGGCTGGCGGTGACCCGTCTCACTCACATTCACACCTGGGTGAGGACGGTCAGGTCACACGGGAGGGGCAGAGCCAGGACAGCCCCTGTCCCCCGAAACCGCAGAGCAGTGTGCACCCTACTCCCCAGTCTCCCCTGGAAGCCCTGGGTCTGCCCACTGCCCCTGCCCCAAGCTCCCGTCCCACGCTGCTTTGGCCTCCCCCGACCCGAGCTCCCCTCCCACGGTCCCGCCTTCCACAGCCCAGCGGGGCCCACTGTGAAATGCACCAGCACAAAAGCTCCAGATGAGGGAGATTGTTCGCATTTCAAAAGAGTTTACCAGGATATTTCTTTGGAAAGTGATTCTCTGGGGTTGAGGATGATGTGATTTACAAAATGAGAGAGGCGAGTTTTCAGCAGCAACATCTCATTTGTGTAAGGCATAGATCCACGTGGGGATGCTAAAAATACAGGTTCCCAGGCCCCATCCCAAGAGATGGGCCTGACTGGATGGGACTGGAGAGGGCCTGGGCAGCAGAGTTGTTTAGAAAGCACCTCAGCTCACTCTACAGCACACCCACCCCAGGGCTGAGGACCACCAGGAGGAAGGGCCCCGCCTGCATTCAGCCCGCATGTCCCAGGGGCTGGCCCTTGGGCCAGCCCAGCAAGGGACATACACATGGAGGGTGGTGTGGGTGTCCCCCTCCCATGCTGACTTTGAAAAACTAGGGGGAGTTAATTTGGGGGAGGGTCTCCCAGGCAAGTCTCAGCCGTGGCTGCTCATGGGAACCTGGGGACATTTCCTGGCTGCCTGGGTCCCAGCCCAGACCCAGGGGTCCAAGTGGCCCAGGCATCCCTCTCTCTGAAAGCTCCTCAGGTGACTGGATGAGAGCCCGAGTTGGGACTTGTGGTACCGCATTTAGGACGAAACTGCTGGCCCAGTTTGTCTCCCCACTTCCCCTACAGGAGACTTCCCTGTGACCCCTCCTTCCTCCTGGGAAGCGGCCCCAAGCTCTGAAATACTACGTACGTAGTACAGATAATAAGAATATATATAGTGTGCACCTACCATGGCGGAAGACTCTTACATCACCTTCTTACTGAATCCTGCCAACAGCTGGGCGAGGCAGTTACCACCACTCCCTAGCTGAGGAGACTGGCTCAGAGAGGTTAAGTCACACAGCCAAGATTGCACAGCGTTATGGATCCTCTCTGACTTGAGAGCCCACTCTTTCCACCAAAGCAGGCTCGCATCCCAGGGCAATTTTGAGACATCCCCCCAAGCCAGTGAGAACTCACCTGCCCCAGGTGAGAAGATTCAAATCACACTAAGAACAGTAACCACCAGGCCTGGCCTCACCCTGTGCCCTGCGCTTTGCGCTCATCGACTCCCTCCGACATCTGGATGAGGCAGGCACTACCATGTACCAGTTGGGTTTCGAGGAGAGAGAGGTGATTAGCTTGCCTCCAGTCCCCCATGAGGCAGTGGTGAGTTGAAACCTGAGGCCAGGTCAGTGCCCAGCTATCATGGGTGTCCCTCTGGCCCCCTCTCACTCCGACACTCAGATCCAGCATCTGGGGCTTCATCGGCCACACCCTGGTCCTGCCTGGAGCTGGAAGGGGGTGGGGGCTGAGCTACCTTCCCTGCTCTTCCTCACAGTGGAAGAGGGTCCCTCCGGGTCCTACCCCTTGGCCCGATCCAGGCAACCCTGCAAGCTCCCCTCCAGGCCCACAGAGAATGTGGCTTCCCGACCCAGGGAAGTTTTCCCGCGCTCCTGCCCATTGCTGGTACCAGCCTTACTCCCTGTGCATCTTAGATTCTGCACCTGCAGAACGGAACCCTAAGATCCATCTTGCGAGGTTCCTGGGATGGTGTAAATGGGCTCAGGTCCCTCGGCAGCCTGGCCCCTGCCAGTGCTGGCCCTGGGACCAGGAGCCTGGGGCATGCATGAGTAGGCAGTGCCGGCAAAGACCACTTGCCCCTCCTGTTCCTTCTGTAGTTTGGGTGGAGTCCCTGGTGACTGGAGCCCAGGTGACCCCAGCCCCGTCTGAGGTCCCTCTGGTCACTTGGCTCTTGGTTCCCAAACCCGGTGGTCTGGGGGTGAGAGGCCTGTTCCCAGCTGTGCCTGTTCCCAGCTTTCCCAAACCACAGTCCCAAGCTCTAATTAACCAGCCGGGGCAGCTTGAGGAGCTGTTTCCATGGCAACCAGACTGGCCACCCCTACCAGGGCCCCAGGGGAGGCGCGGCGGGAGCCCCTGCTCCAGTAGAAGCAAGCATCAAAAAGCATGCCAGGGCTGGGGTGACTCAGATGGGGGTGTGGCCTGGCCTCCTCTCTGACCCCTTTCCCTCGGTCCCTTCCTCTGGCCAGCTGTGGGCGCCTGACTCCTGACCCCCAGCTTCTGAGAGCCTGGGTCCTGCTTGTCTTCCTCAACACCGTTAATGACAATGACCCAGCTTTGGCCTAGGGCTGGGCAATTAGACCTCGCCTGCCCACCTCTGAGCTTCCGCTGAGCCCTGGGCCCGAGCCCTGAGCCCGTGAGTGGGCCCTGAGGCCTACACTTCCTTCCTCTCCCTGAGGCTGTCAGTTCCTCCCTGGGGGCAGCAAACGGCCCGCAAGCTGGCTGGGAATGGACTGCTCCTTCTTGGAACCTAACTACCAGGAAGCTGTAACCAATTAAGAGGCTGGGCAGGGAGGGAGAGCGGGCTGTGGCTGGCCCATCCAGAGGACGGTGTGGCTGGGCCCACCTATGTGGGTGAGGGAGATGGACGAGAGGGCCGCAGAGGGCCAGGTGTGCAGGGGCCTATGGTGGGGGTGGTGGGTAGAGGCCCAGGGGAGATCAGCTCTAGAACAGGGAAAATCTGATGCCCGAATCTGGATCCCCGCAAGAGAAATGCAGATCCTAGGGCCCACCACAGGCCTGCTGACTGGGAATCTGCATTTTTAAAAAAAGTTTTATGTATCTAAGTCATCTCTATACTCAACATGGGGCTCGAACTCATGACCCCAAGATCAGGAGCTCCGGGCTCTTCCAACTGAAACCAGCCAGGCGCCCCGTGGGAATCCACGTTTTAACGAGATCTCCCAGTGATTTGTGTGCCTATTATAATTTGAGAAGCGCTGCGCTAGAAAGGGGCAGTGGGGGTGGATGGTTGGAGCTGGCTGGAGCCCTGACCGGCAGAAGGGTGGGGCCCGGGGGCTCTGGGGCCCCAGAGAGCGTGGCAGCTGTCATGCCAGGGCCTGGGCAAGGGAACTCTGAACTGAATGATGTCAGGACTGGCAAGGGCTTGAGAGCCCACAAACTCTCCCTCGATCTACAGGAGGGACTGGGGAGGGGACCCGGGTCCAGGGAGCAGAAATGACTTGTCCACGGTCATGTCCAGTAGGAACACAGCAGGCACCAGGTTCCCAACCTCACACTCTAAGCCTCCTTGGGACTTGTGAGCTGGCAAAGCTCTGACTGACGGCCGCCTGCAAACCGCTGGCTGCCCCATCACAAGGTCCTCGACCTGGGGCCCCGGCCCTCCCCAGGTTCTTCCCCCAGCACAGGTGAGGTACAAGGCTGTGCCTCACTGCTACCACCAGGGGGTGAGACAGGAGCCTCAACCTCTCCCTTGGTGGAAACACCCCAGAACCATAGGGCTGGAAGCCCCGTGTGTGCACAGAAGGGTGTGCACAGAAGACTCTCGGCACAGCTGTTCCCTCCCAGGAATCAGGGCTGGGAGGGGCAGTTTCCTACTCTCCTTTTATCTTTGGGCCTCAGCTGGCCTCCAGCAATGGGGGTAAGGGGAGGTCCCTGAGAGAGGGACATGAGACTCGCCCCACTGGGAGCTCCACCTCAGACCTCCCCTCACTGGGACACCGCTCCAAGAGAGGGGACACATTCTGCCCCAAGCCTTTCCTCCTACAATCATAACAATCCCTCCCACGAGTAGGGTTTCTTGGACCCCCACTCGACCCAGAAAGAGACTGGAGGAAGATGGGCATTCTTATTCTCACTGGACAAATAAGGAAACTGAGGCACAGAGAGCCTGTTCTGGGGAAAAAGCTGAGAAAAGAACCCAAGCCTTGCTCACTCAGTCCATGTTGGTTCCCCTTCCCGACCGGACAACCCCCACGCTGTCACCAACTGTCACCCGTGTCCCGGCCCCGGCCTCCCAGTTCAGCTCCTGCCTGGGGCCCCGGCGTCCTGCCCTTCTCACCATGAGCATCTCACTGGTGAGGGAGTTGACGAGGTCCGAGACGGAGGAGCGCGGCTCAGTCCGGCGGTCAGACTCATCATGGGGTGTCTGGCCCGGCACTGGGGCTGTGTTCACTGCCTTCCCTCCTGCAGGCAACCTGGAGGTAGGGGGAATCCGAATGAGCGCGGGTCGGGAGGTGGGCTGGGCTGGGCACCTTGGCCGGGGTGGCGGCAGCACCTCCTCTGAGACCCAAGCAGCCACCCTCTCCTGCAGGCCAGCAGGAGCCGTGCTCTTGTCCACGGGGAGGCCTGGTTTTCACCTAGAGCAGCACTCGGGGCCCAGCTCCCTCACCTTAGCATGATCCAGCTTGACTGCCCCTGTGGATGCTGTATTGGTGGGTACTCGCCCTCCTCCTGGTCCCCAGAGAATGCCCCACCACCCAGTCACTGCCTGCAGAGTGGTCTTGGAGCGTGCCCGCGGCCCCAGAGGCCCCGGGCACCCCTGCTCGCTCCAACCTGGCAGGGGAGGCTCCCCAGGTGGCATGTCCAGGTCACCCCTCTGCGTCATTACCCTCTGCAAACACGCCCAGGGTGCTAGCTCCCAGAGGCCCCACCTGTGTTTGTTCAGCCTGAGAACACAGGTGCCCTTCAGACCCGAGACTGACCAGCGGAGGTCAGGACCACTGTCCACACAGCTCTGGCCAGTAGAACTTTCTACGATGGCAGCAGTGTTCTATGTCTGCGCCGTCCCTATGTGGCTACTAAAGCATTTGAAGTGGCCAGTGCGACTGAGGACAGAATATTTCATTTTGTTCGACTCAAACTAATTTAGATTTAAACAGCCACCTGCGAGATAGGACGAGTCTACACCCGCTTGCTCCCCAGTCCCCACCTGCCTCCCGCTCTGAGGACTGCGTGTGGGATAAGGCTCTCACCCAGGGTCAGAGAGAGACGGGGCACCACCGAGAAGCCCCGAATCTGACCATTCCACGCGAGGCCCTGCGTGCACCCCGACTCCATGCCGCTCCCGGGAAGCTGGGCTCTCTGGCCCGGCAGCTGGGTGGTGAGCCCAGGCTCCGTCCAGCTGGGGCTCAGGAAGGGGGCCCTAAAAGTGTGCCCAGGGACCAGGCTGGAACATCTCATGAGGAGGAAAGGTGGGGCAGGCAGCGAGGAAAAGACAGGAAGACTGGCAGCATGGGGCTTGAGACAGGCTACAAGAGAACAGCTCTGAGAGTCCCAGAGCCTCATACTCGGAGACACACACAGGCTAGACACACACCCTCGGTATGGACCAGCCGCCAGCACACAGTTGACCACGACAGGCAGACAGACATTATGCACGGAATCTGCCAGGCCCTGGAGGGGAGATACCAGGACCCAACAGCAAGGTGTGCACGTGCACACGCACGCACGCACACACACACAAATGCACACAAGCCTGACAGACACCCAGGCGGCACCAGGGAGAGAATGGCACAGCAACAAGGCAGGTCGACCAGAGCAGTGAGGTGACACACATACACACACACACACCCCCCCCGGCGATGCACACTTAAATCCCAAGACGAAACATCCAGGGAGACCCAGGCATGCCAAGGTGTGCGTGTGAATCGGGACCGACTGAAACAGACCAAAGCGGGGAGCCGTTTCAGGGACAGACACCCTGAGAATCAGACGCACGCGCACCTGCTGTGAGAACCCGGCCCTGCCTAGACAGCACGAAACACCCCACCCCGCCTGGGGCCACCCCGGGGTCCCTGCCAGAGGCGCGGCCACCGCGGGGCACGCCTGCGTGCACGCGCACACACAGGGACACACACTCGCGGACACATGCTTACGCAGACAGGCACGGGGAGGAAGAGGGCACCGAAATAGCTGGAGAGGTAAAGTCAGGTTAAAAATAGAGTGGGACTGGAGGAGAGCGCCAGATTGACTGCTGAAGGTATGAGAAAGTCGGAGTTATTTTGGCCACACCACAGCATCAGCGCAGCTGCAAAGCAGCCTGGGAAGATGGTCAGCGCCACTGAAGCTACCGGAGGTCACAGGACAGAGAGAGACAGAGAGACAAGTGCACAGAGAGGCAGAGGGAGAGGCGCAGGGGCCCCCTCACTGGCCCAGGGACATCCCTGTGAGGAGCAGCTGGGAGGAAGGAGAGGGGGAGAGAGAGAGAGGCCAAGAAAGGTTAGTGGGAGACTAGCGAAGAAGGCTGCAGGGTGGACAAGGGCACGAGCAAGGCGGCCGAGAGGAGAGGCAGAGAGGAGGCGGGGGACACACACCGGGACGGAGGAAACATGGTGGTTTGGGGGCGGGGAGAGCGATGGGGGTGGCCAGGTCCCCGCCCTGCCCCGCGCCCCACTCAGGGGGTGGGGGGGGGTCACGGTGGACACCATTCGGATCCCAAGGAGCGATGGGAGGGATGGCAGGGAGCATGACATGAGGATGGATGCAGGGCAGGATGGGTGAAGGCAGCGAGGCACGGGGGCCGGGGGTGGTCCTGGCCGCCTTCCTTCCTCCCTCCCGGGTCCAACAGCATTCTGTTCTTGGGGCCCACAGTACTGAGGCTCTGGGACTGGGAGATCCTGGATGGGGGGCTTCCAGGCCACCAAGGATCCTGGGAGGGAGGTACTGACCAACCTTCCCGTCTCCATGTTGCTCGCTAGATGCACCCCTACCTTGTTTGGGAATTGGAATGGCTGCTCTTCCTCCCGGGGCCCTCCTGTCACCCAGGGACTTGCCGCTGACAGAGACCTCAGGGGCTGAAAGTCCACAGCCAAGGGGTCAGCCGGATGGTAAAGGGGGGGGGCGGGAATCAGGGCAGAAGGGCAGACTCTGGGTCTGGAGGCAGAAGCTGAAGAGAAAGGGACAGCTGACCCAAGCCCAGCATTCCAAGGTCCAAAGAGCCAGGGCTCCAGAGGAGTGGGAGCCCTAAGGTGCCGAGAGCCCGGTGGGGTGCTGCCAGTGCCGATGTCGAGCTTGGGCCGGGAAGGAAGCCCTCAGTGCTGGACACCCTCGCGGTGCCCGGTCACCTGGGAAACACCCCAGAGGCCATGAGACGGATGGGGTGGGTGTGACCAGGTGGGAATGACATATGTCCACCTGGAGAGTCAGGCAGGGTGGGGGCGAGGGCCCACGGCCCCCACCTCCACACCCACCTTTCCCAGGAAGGCAGGGACAGCTGATGTAATGGTCGGAAGAGATGGGTGTGTTAGAATACGGGCGGGAGACCTACATGGCAGGGGTAAAAATAGGCTGTGGGTGGAAATGGAGCCAGCTAATGAACGCATGGGTGATGTGAAATCTCGTTTCCAGCCTGCGTCTGCTCCCGCACACTTCACACCTCCCCCCCCCCCCAAGAGCTCGGGTTCTCAGCAGGCTTCCAGAGGCCCCCAGCCTCCTCCTGCCGCCTCTCCCCCCTGGCCCCCGGCCCCCTCCCCACGGCACTCTGGCCTGCCCGGGGCCCAGCCCAGGACTTCTGGGGCGCCAGGTGGGCTGGAGGTGGTAGGCTCTGTTCCTCCCCCCCCCCCCCCAAGGACATGGGCTCGGGGTTTGACACCATCTGTGCCAATGAGTGAAAGAATCCGTCCTGCTCTTCCCTCCCACTCTCCGGGGACTTGTGGCTGTGTCCACCATAGACAGGCAGCTGTGAACTTGGAACAGGAAGAAAGAGCAAGAAGCCGCTGGAGGGACAGGCAGTCAGCTGTCTAACTCTTGGCCTAGGCTTCCGTAACCCACAGGCCCCTGGTGGTGGCCTGGGACAGTCCCCTCCTGCCTTATGGGCCTCAGGGAATGTCAGGATCCCTGCCCAGCTCACAGGCTCTGACAGGTGCCCCAGCCTGAGGGTCTGTGCTCTCATGAGAAGCTTAGCATGCCCAAGCTGGAAGCGGTCACCCTCTCCAATCCTTCATTCGACAGACAAGGAAACAGAGGCTCAGAGAGGGGCAGTGACTCGCCCACGTCTGCAGAGCGGGTCTCTGGCAACCAGAGCTAGAAGGCTGGCATCCTGGCCGTCAGCCCATGCTCTCCGGTAGGCTTTTGGTCTGGCGAGAAGCAGACCTGACCGAGGTCAGGAGCCCTCCCTCTGTGACTTACAGGTGTGTGGCTGGCCCAGCCCAAGGCCAGGTGATGGGCGGCAGCCACACCAAGGGCAGGATCACCCCACCTTTGCGACGCTGCCCGAGCCTCCGGCCCTCCGACCTTTCCCCCATCTCCTTCCCCGCGAGTGCTCCACGCCCTCCCTGAGACGGGAGGCACCAGGAGGCGCTTCCCTGAGTTCCTGATGGCAACACTACGGCTAAGGCCTCTGCTCCGCCTGAGCAAACAGGTCTGCTCTCGGGCTCTCCCCCTATTCCCTCCTCCTGGTACCTCAGGTTCAGGGCTGCCTCTCGGTTCTTTCTGGTCCCCACGCCTCTCCCATGCCCCACACCCTCCCCACCAGGGGCTCCTCTTCAATCAGCCAAGCAGCTCAGCCACACCTGTGCAGTACCCCTGCAGTGAGGGGGTGCTACCGTCACCCCAGCGGGGCCTCCAGGCAAGAGGGAGGTTGAGGTGGCAGGGATGAGGGAGAACAGGCTGGTGCCCCTTCCCTACATCCCCCCCGCCCACCAACCACCAGAGAAACTGGGATTTCGGGGTTGGGGGGGGCAGAGATGAAAAATGAGGGGCAGCAAGGGGTGGGGGGGGGAGCCAAGCAGAGAGATGGGGCAGAAAGGCTGACTTGCTCCGGGCGAGGGCAAGCATGCCTGGGGAGCAGGCTTGATCCAGAATGGTCCCAGGACGGCCACACTGGCCTTGGACCCCAGGGACAGCCCGGGGCGGCGTGTGTGAGGGCACCGGCTGGGGAGGGGGCTGTCCTCCCGCTCCAGGATCGCTGAGGGCACCGCCGCCTCATCCAGCAGCCGGGCCAGGGCTGGTGGAGGCCGGCAGCCTCTCCACGCCTCCATCTCTGCCGCGGCCGCCGCGGGCCCTCGCCTGAGCTCGTACCTCTTGTCCCCCTGAGCGTTCTGGTTCTGCTGGGTTCCTGGGTTTTGCAGGTCAGGGATATTGGCAAAGTCATCCTGTTCCGAAAGCCCTAAGACCAAGGATAGCACCACCATCCTGCCTTCCCTGCCCGAGGTGGGCAGCCCACCAGCCGGGAGGAAACGAGGAGGCCCCACAGGCGGGGGCAGGGAGGGGAAAGAGAGAGACAGAGACAGAGACAAAGAGAGAGAAGAAAAATGCGTAAGAAACTGGCCCTGCAGGAGAGAAACCACACACTTTAGCACTGTCAAAAGTTGTAGAGCAGAGGCGGGTGGAGGCGGAAAGGGAGGGGATGAGGGGAGGTGTCCACAGCCTGAGACCCAGCCTGCCTCGGAGCCAGGGAGCGGGACGCTCTGGAGAGATTCTGGGAAGGGGTTGGCCCGAGGCCCGCTGAAGCGGCATGTGCCCCAGACGCTGCCGAGGAAGACTGCCGAGGAAGGCTCGGGGAAGGCCGGGGGAGGGGAGCTACTCGCTCTGGCCATTTGGGCCCCTGGGAGAAGAGAGAGGGGCTCCATCGCCATCTTGCACGGGGAAGGGCAGGCAGGTTTGGGTTCCCAGGTGGGAGGTTCTTAGAAAGTTTGGAAATCCAATGGGTGCTGCACCCTGTGCTCCTAATAAAGACATCTCTGGGTCATGGGCAGCCAGATGTCCTTGACACCAGGAGGGGGTCCCTGAACACACAGCCCATCAGAGGAGAACGGAAGTCCCTTCTGGCTTATGGTGTGCTGGCCTTCTCCTGAGTCTGGCTTATGGTCACGGGCCTCCTCCTGAGTCCCCCTTCCCGGAGATCCAGGGAATAACCACCAATGCTTTTGGGTCCAGTTCAGGGGCCTTTCCTCGGAGAAGTAGTCCAGAAGTCACCAAAAAGCAAAGGTGGAGAGAGAGAAAGTGCAGGAACCTGGCTGGCAAGGTCTGGAGGAATTTCTGCAGAGAGGAAGATCTGGAAGGGGCTGGAGCCATCCTGCTTTGAGGGAGGCTCCGTCCAGGTGGACAAGGAGCTGCCATGTGGGCAGCAGCGTGGGGCCAGAGGTCAAGGTGTGACTTTTTCATAGGCGGCATTCTCAGAGAACCCCTGGGCAACTGTGGGGTCTCCCTGCATTTTCCAGGGACAAGAGGTGACCTGCTGCCCTGCAAAATCATGAGTTCATGGGCATTTTTCTGGGTATTTTGTGGAGCTCGTCCAGCCCTGCGTCTCTCATTCCGAACAAAGGAAGAAGGGGATTTCAGATGGGGCAGGGAGGAAAGCGTGTCTCAGGAAGGGCCAAGGAAGGGATGGTGAGCCTAAGAGAATGTTCCAGAGAGGGGGACCCTGGGTTGGGAAGCCTGCCTTTCAACCACCGTCCAGGGGGGCAAGGTTTAGACAGGAAGAGGCGGCTGTGGCTATTTCCTAGAGAGGTTGTCGGAAAGGGAACTCAAGCAGGTGAGACGTGGCACCTGTGGGGGGGGGGGGGGGGGGGGGGGCGCAGGGAAAATGGGAGATGGCAGTGGGGGCCCAGGGAGGGGAGGAAGCTAAGTGGCTGCACCGCCTTCCATGTCATACATCTTTGTCCTGGGCACATTACTCCAGGCTGACACTCGTGCTGGCATCCAACTTTCGGGTAACAACTCCCCCTTCCCTCAGGACAAATCCTTGTTTTCTTTGTTCTCTGCCCACCGGTACTGTTTTACTGTTGGTAAAATTCCATTTGGCTGCTTGGGAGCTGGGTTGAGCTGGGGGAAGGAGAACCCAACGAAAACAACATGTTTTTTTCCCTGGTTAATGCATTTTTCAGATACTCCTTTTGCTCTTCTTAAAAACAAAACGGCTCCTCTGCATAAATTCCCAATTTGTCCTTCTCCCCAGCAACACAGGCTGCAAGGGTGAGAGCGAGGGGCAAGAGGAGAGTCTGGGGAGAAGTTGGTGGTATTGGGGGGGGGTGTCACACCCATTAAGCAGGAGGAACACCATCCTCCCTGCAAGAGGGGGTCGGGTCCTGGGAGGCCTGGCTAGCCCTCCCACCCCGGCTGTCTCTGTAGACCAGCAGCATCTGGGACAAGAGAAGGGCCTCAGAAGCACACCAGCTAAACTGTAAGGCGGGGGGTCAGAGGTGGGCAAAGTACAGCTGGTGGCCTGTCTTTCTACAGCCCACAAGCTAAGAATGGCTTGTGCGTGTTTAAAGCATTGCTTTAAAAAAATGTGATCGAGACCACGTGCCCCACAAAGCCTAAAATATTTATAATCTGGCCCTTTGCAGAAAAAAATTTGCCGACCCCTGCCGGGAGGAATGACAAGTGGAGGAGGTGGGGGGTTGGGTGATCTCTAGCGGTGGCCAGAAGGCGAGGGGCCCATAAAGCCGTGGTGGGGGCAGCAGTGTGGACTGAGGATGTTGGCACAGGGGCACCGCTCAGCAAATCCCAGTTGAGCAGGGGCGCAGCGGGCAGGGAAGGGTCGGTACACGGAGGCTTTCCTGCAGCGGGCTCCCTTCTTCCCAGGGCCTGGGGATGGCCCCTGCCCCAGTCTGATGGCTGCTAGAATAGGAAGCAGGGTGACAGCTGTGCAAAGAGCAGCCGGAGGGCAGGAGGAGCAGAGGGGTGCAGGGGCCCGCTGGCTCCCAGTTCTGTTCAAGCCACAGAAGAACCAATTCCCTCGACTCTCCTAATCCACACCAGTGCCACCGTATCCGTCCCCAGACAAACCACCGCCTGGAAGCCAGGAGGCTCTGCTGGGCATCTTGTCTCATGCAGGCACCAGCCTTGGATCCCCAAGGGTCCTTGGGTCAGGGAGAGCCCCGGCAGATGTGCTGCCTGGATGTGCCAAGTAGAGGCACGGGCCGCACGAGCTGCCAGCCAGGGCCATGGGCCACTTGCACGGATGTGGGAAGCTGGCATGGCAAGGCCTCTTCTGTTGGGGTGCCCCTGCCAGGGACAGCACTCCCGTCTGCCCTGGAAGCCTGGGCTGGGGTCTCAGCTGGAGAGCTAGGAAGCTCGGAGGGACCTGCTTGCCTTCAGAATCCCCACATCTTGCCCATGAGCTGGGCCTTGCGTCTTGCCCTCCCCCTCCCTCCTCCTTTCTCCTCTCCCAGGCTTAGTGCTGGTCTCTTGCTCCATGAAAAGTGCTCCCAGGGAAGACCTGGGCGATGGGAATAATCCCCAGAGCCTGGAAGGAAGGTCATGTTAGGCCGGAGGAGGCGAGGGATATCAGAGGCAAAAGCCCAGGTCTGCCCTGGGCTCTGAGAGTGAGTGCCGAGGCCCAGAGTGATGCCAGAGCGGGGGGCGCCCTGGGCAGGGCCCCTACATGTGGGGCAGGGCAGCATGGGATGGGGGGTGATGAGGAATGGCTACAGTTAGATACCCATGGCGTGTGGTTACTTCTCAGACCTGTACACTTGAGAGAAGCCTCTGATTTACAAAGAACCTTTTCTAAAGCTTTGGGGGGAACATCTGAGGTTTGTCCTCAGGGCATGGGTCATTCTGGGAGCTGGAGGACAGGTGGCTGGAGAAGGTCAGAGAGGCAGAGGACAGGGCTGATGGCAGGAACCGTGAGAGGGAGGGAGGAAGTGCGGGGCAGGAAGGTGAGCTGAGTCCGGTTACAGGGAAGAGGTGATCTGGAGGCTCGGAGGCAGGGCCAGAGCCCAGGTTTGGGAGGAGGCGGGGAGGCTAGCAGGGAGGCCAGGAGCAGCCTGCGACCAGCGGGAAGAGGAAGCGGACCAGGTGGCCTCAGGTCTCAGCGGCACTGTCCAGGGTCCCCACTGACATTTGGGGGAAGGACCTTCTCCGAGCCCTGGGAGGCACCGAAGGGGGAGGAGCCGGGGTCCTCAGAGGGGTGGCCCAGGTAAGAATCCTTCCATGGGGGGCTGCAGGCACGGAGCCTCGAGCCACAGGAAGCTGGGGAGGGGTGGGCCGAGTCTGCTCGGCACCCTGCCGCGGAGATGGAGGGCCTGGAGCCAGGGCAGGGCCAGCCGCTCCCAAGGAGATGAGGGCAGAGAGACTGGGTCGGGAGGTGGGGGCCGGCCCGCTCAAGGGGGGGACTTACAGGAAGGATTTCATGTCCAAGCCTCGGTTTCGAATCTGCCCCACCACGTGGTCCCAGCTGCCTGGGTTGGAGCGGCTGCGGCCGCCGGCCGCCCGGTACTTGGAGCCGGCCGAGGTGCCCTGCCGAGCCTGGCCCCGGCCATGGGCCCGGGGGTTGGGGCCCGGCACCGAGGCCGCGTGGGCCTGCAGCTGGCCCAGGCTCTGGCTGGTGGTGGGCTGGCTGGGCTGCCGGCCCCGCTGGTGCTGGCTCAGCGGCTGCTGCAGGCTCTGCTGCCGCATCAGGGTGCGGGGTCGCTGGCATTTCGGCTCTCCCGCGGAGCTGGGGATAGACTCAAGGGTAGTGGCCGTGGACAGGGTGGAGTCCTCGAAACTTGGGGCGGGTGGAGGAGAGGAGAGAAAGGAGAAGCAGATGAAGGGATCACAGTGGAGGAGAAAGAAGCCGAGGGTCAAGACTGGGAGGCCCCAGTGCAGGGCGCGCTCTGCCGGACCTCGCCGGGCCTCCATCCCTGCTGCCACCGCTGTGCTGTAGCTCTGCCACCACCTCACTCAGGAGGCCACCGAACCCCGCGCCCGCCCTGAGCCCCTCCCCCCGGCCCCCCAGCCCCTGCCGGCCCTGCCCAGCCCGCCCTCTGGCCTTGGCTCGCCTGATGCTCCAACGCCTCCTGTCTGAGCCGCGGGAGCTGTGGAGGCTGCGTGGTGAAGGCGTCCCCGGGGCCCTGGGCCTGGCGTGCCCAACGGCAGTGGGGGGAGGGAGCTGCTCCGCCCCCTCCCGCGGTCTCGCTGGGGGACCCCAGGAAAGTCTGCCTCTGTGATCGAAGTACGACCGGCCTTTGGAGACCCGAGGAAACCCAGGCCAGTGCAGAGCTGGCCTAGTAACGTGCGGCAGGGCAGGGAAAGCCGGCGGTTCTTATGCTTGGGCCACGGAGGCTGGGGACTGTCCTCAGACACCCCTCTGTCCTCGGGCCTCTGCCTTGTGGCCAGGGCTGCCTCAGGATTCAGGCTCCGGAGCAGACCTTTGCCCTCCTTCCAGGGTCCCTTGTTTCTGAGATGCAGTGTCCATTCCTGATCTCTTGGGAGTGACTCCAGGGAGAAGGGGGAACCCGGGAAAGGAGCAGATGAGGTGGGAGCCCCAGGAACCACTTGTCTGGTCACTTTGCCCCAATTCTGATGGAAAACAGGGTGCCTATACGTTTTCAAGAGGGGGCGCCTCCTAGCAGGCCCACCGGCATCCCTGAAAAATGCTGGTAAGGGGGCAGGGACAGGCAGGAAGCAGGGCATGGCTGCTCAGAGGCAGTATGAGGTCAGAGGGACCCAGGTTCAAGCCCCAGCTCTGCTGCTTCCGAACCGCAGGACTTTGGAAAAGTGAGTCCACCCCTCAGTTTCTTCATCTGAGTGTCTTCATAAAACCCCGGGGTGGAAAATCATCCCTGAGCTGCCTCTGTCCCAGGGTTGCCATGAGGACCTAATGAGGTCGGGCCCAGGGACATGTGTTTCAGCTAACGCTCCCCGTGCCAGTGGTACCTGCAAATGTCTCAGGAGATGGAGGTAGGAAAAGTCAGAGACCCCTGGCCTCCCCAGGCAACCTGCCTGTTTCGTTCTCCTGGCCAGAGACCTCAGCACACCCCATAGGCAGGGCCAGAGCCTCAGAGGTCCCAACCTCCTCTTCTGTCCCCTCCCTCCGTCTCCCGATCCAGTGGTCCAGGGCAGGGGTTGGCAAACTGTGGCCTGTGGGCCGAATCTGGTCCACCACCTGTCTTTGTAAATAAAGTCTTACTCGAACAAACTAATTTACATCCTGTCTATGGCCGTGACAGGCTTGAGTTGGCATAAAAGAGACTATGTGACTTGCAGAGCCTAAGCATTTCCTATCTGGCCCTTTACAGAGGAAGCTTGCCAACTCCTGGTCTAGAACCACAGGGCAGCCAGGTACCACCCCCCGGGGCTGCCTGCAGGAGGGGCCCCAGGGCCCTTGCAGCCGCTTTCACCACTGCAGCCAGACCTCAGCTTTGCTCCCTCCCGAGCCTACCGTGGGAACTAAAGGACAACAGTTAAGCTGCCCCTGCGGGCGAGAGAGAGAGAGAGAGAGAGAGAAAGAAAAAGAGTTAGAGCAAAAGAGGGAGAGAAAGTCAGAGAATAGTAGAGAGAGAGAGAGAGAGAGAGAGAGAACAAGAGATGGGGGGGAGAGAGAGAGAGAGAGAGAGGCAAAACATGGCTTTAGCTGGGAGCTGGGGTCCTGGAGGAGGCAGCAGCCTTGCCTAGCTCAGGTCTGGAGCCTGGGCTACCACCAGGGACAGGCCCAGGCCTGGCCGGCCAGATAGGCCCACAGCTCCCTGGGCGCAGGCCGAGGCAGGGGCGGACGACAGTTGGATGGCTTCCTCCTCCTCCTTGCTGACCTCATTTTGGTTTCCTATCACATCCCAAATTAGTCCAATTTACAACCTCTCGGTCACAGGAAACTAAAATTGGTGCCTCCACGCCTGGAGCCAGTGGATGGCATGGAGCCTTCAGCCAGCTTGGAGTCTGTGGCCAGAGCCGCCTGGGGAGGGCGGGGCGCTGGGCCTGGCTCTCCGAGGGGGTGTGGGGCTTCCCTCCGAGACCTTCCTGAGGCCCGACGTCAGGGGAGAAATGGGCCTGTGTGCCTTCAGGCCAACAAGCAATACGGTCTCAGCACAGTGGCCCTCAGTGGTCCCAAAGACAGGAGTCATAGGCCTTCTAAAGAGAACCAGGGGCGGGGTGGGGTGCTGAATGAAGGCAACAGGACAGCCCCCAGCTAGGAAGGGGTCAGGGCTGCCGGTTTCCTAAGTGAGAGGCTGCTCCCTTAGCTGGGCATGAGGCAGTTCTAATAGCTGAAAACGGAACCTACATCCCAGTGGGTGAGAATGGTCATAGTTCAAAGGATTTAGAGCCTGGAAGGGCTCAGCTGCGGGGACATGGAAGTTTCTAAAAGCCAAGATGAGAATAAAGCAGCCCCATGGTGGGGGAGGAGAGAATACACTTTCTGCTGTGAACAGGGGCCATCCCTATGTCCATGGCCCAAGAGAGGGACTGTCCTGTTTGGCAAGCTCAGAGAGCTTTTAAAAGGGAAATGGCTCTTCTGTCTGCAGTCCAGACCACCCTGGTCAGAAAAGAGAAGCTAGCTGGGGGGCTCAGCAACCCAACCGCCAAGAACACACCACCCACCAGCTGCCAGTGGGATCGCTCGCTGCCCAGGACTGGGACAGCCCACGGGGTGGCTGAGGTGAGGACGGACCCGTGGGGACAGCCCAGCTGCTCATGGTGGGCCTGCGGGACAGATGCGGAAATGGTGCAGACAAGAGTGGGTACAAGCCGGTGGAGGCGCCAGATGGTCAAAAATGGAACGGCTCAGCCTCTGGGTCTAGAGCCATCTGCTGGTTGTAAGAGGGAAGGCCCGGTGGCAGATGAGTGGCATCAAACACAGGCTGAGAGTGGGCCAGCTCCCCAGGGATGGGATGGTCCAATGGCTGAGCAACCACGGGTGGCCCACAGAGGGATGACCTGACGGCTGGATGGCGCGGCCAGTCAAAGAGGATGGGATGACCTGAGGATTGAAATGAAGCCGCCTCGGGGGGCAGAAAATGGAATGGCTTGGTCACTGGCAAGGAAAGAGACTGATGGGGGGGGGCGGGTGGGCAGCAGCCGGAGGCTGGGATGCGACACTGACACCGTATGGCTGTTAGTTGTGCCCGATGGCAAGGATGATGCGCGTCTCATGAAGGGATGAAATGAGCCAGGGGCCGAGGACGGCACCTCTGGGGGCAACAGCGGGCATGCCGGGGGGGTCCCACTGTCCCCCCCCGGCGGGGGCCGACCCGAGCTCACGGCTCCAGCGGCCACAGGGCCATGACTCACTTGGACAAGTTGAGCTTCCCTGCGGCCAGGTGGCTCTGCACCGTCCGCCAGCGGCCTCTCCCCGCCTTGCCACCGCTGCCCGGCTCGCTGGGGGCAGCCCCGCCGCTTCTCGAGGTGTCCTCTCTGGGTGGCGGCACCAGCGCTGGCTTCTCCCCCGGCCGGCCTTCCCGCCCCACCGCCAGCCCCGCCGCGGCGGCCACCTTGGCGCCCGACAGGAGGGTGCCACTGGAGGCACGCGGGAGGCAGCCGGGCCAGAGGGGCGCCGGGGGTGGCGGTGGGGGGGGAGAGGGCGGGCCACACGTGGGGGTGGGGGTGGGAGAGGGAGAAAAACAATGACAGATAAAAGGAAGAAAGAGACAGTGAGAGAGGAGGAGAGAGACAGACGGACAAGAGACAGACAGAGAGAGAGAGAGAGACATCAGCACTGCAAGTGGGTTAACAGCAGAGCCTGCAGAGAGGAGAGAGGGGGCCGGGCGGGCTGGGGTCGGAGAACAACGCACCACGACAACGGAGGGGCGGCCCCTCCCCACCGCCTGGGGCGGGGGCGGCGGGGGTGGGGGGAGGGCAGCCACCTCCAACTCTATCCCACAGGACAACGAAGGGTTAACGACGGAGGAAGAGCGGGCTGTCCAGGCCAGGAGGCCCCAAGGCAGGGAGAAAGAGAAAGCCGTGTTAGTCAGAGTTCATCACCACCACCACCATCACCGCCATCACCGACCACCGCCACCACGACCACCGACCACCGACCACCGACCACCGAGCACCACCACCGAGCAGCCAGGGCAGCAGCACACAGCGGGGAGGAGAAAGCGAGCCACGCCGAGAGGGAGGGACCAAACGGGCAACCCCATCCTGACTGCACAGAGTGGGGGGAGACCCGCTGGGGGGCCGGGTGTGGCTGCGGAGGGGGCTCTCCTGCTCGGCTGGCCCTGGGGGAGGGGACGGGAGAGGGGCAGGCAGGTGAGGGGAGGCAGGAGGGGTTGCTCGTCTCCATGGTCGGCCTGCCCATGGGTGCACCGGTGGGGAAGTCCGGGGCGGAGGGTGGGGGGGGGGCAGGAGCAGGAGGGAAGTGAGGGCCAGAGGGGAAGGAGGGCGTGCGCGGATACTCGGTACATAGGATCAAACCAGGTAAAGTCACTCACTTGAGGGACAGTCGTGGGTCGCCATAAGGGGCGTAGGGTGAAATGTTTAGAATAAACTCCTTGGGAGGATAGGAGCTCCATTTCTGCTGCACTGTGCTCTCATTGTTATTCCAAAAGTCTCTGTCTAGATCGCTGGAGGGGCAGAGAGAGAGGGGAGAAAACAGGGAGATACAAGAAGAAACAAGAACTGCAAGTCCTGCAGGGGCAGAGGGAACAGGGGCCCCCGGGGCTGCACACACAGAGAGCCACAGAGGGCCGAGAGGGCCAGGGTCTGCTCCTGCAGGAGGAAGAGAGGCGGCAGCTGCGCCCCGAGCGAGCGAGTGCATGAGTGCGCGCGCGCGCACACACACACACACACACACACACACACTCTCTCTCACACACACTCTCACACACACGCACGCGCCCGCCTGCGCGCCCGCACACGCTCACACACTCGAGGGCCGGGAGAAGCCACGCAGAAAGGAGGCGAGCTGCAGGTGGGCACGCTGGAGCCTCGAGCCCGGGAAGCTGGTGGGAGAGAGAAAGATGATGAGAGGGGAGCAGGGGGGAGAGGGGGCTGGGGACAGGCGTGGGGGAGGCTGGTGCGGGGAGCGGGAGAAGGACAGAGTGCTGGTTTCTGGCTGGAAAGAGCTGAAAGGTAGATCAGACCCTGCTGCCGACTTGTCCGGGGGCCCACCGCTCCTGGCCTCAGTCTCCCTGCCTGCCAAACCAGAAGATTGGCTGTAACCGTTGGGCTGTCAGCTCTCCCACAGCGGAGACCCAAGGTTCTCCCCTCTTCCATCCACCTCCACGGAGCCGCTCCTGGGGCAGGCCCGGCTCCCTGCCCATCTCTCTCCTCCTCCTGTTGGCCTGAGGTACCCCCAGCCTCCTCTGCCCTCTCTCCTCCTAGGACACAGCCTTTGTGTGAGCTTGGTGGGATCTCAGCTGAGCTGAAGACATTCTCCACTCAATGCAGATGTGGTGATTGGGTGGCCCCCCCAGAAAAGAGAAAGGTCTCCAGGCCTCTGACCTTGCTGAGGGCGTGACCAGAGTCACCGGAGCCCTCCAGGTCCAATGTTTTGGGGCCCGTGTGGAGGGAGCCTGCCCCTCTCTGTGGGGGTTGATGGGCAGACTCAGCCCCGGGCCCTTGACACATACCTGACCTGCCAGCCCGGGTAGCCTCTCCCTGTGCCCCTGATCCTTTCCAGGGTGGAGCTGCTAGGTCTGGAAGGGACCCTTTGCTCCAGTCTTCCCACCTCCTTCTGCTCTGAGACAAGTCATACCAATGAAGCAGATAGGCTGGAAGCACAGAGAATGTGGGGACTTCCTCTGGGGGCTGGCCGCAGAAGCCTCAGACAAGGGGCTCCATCAGCTTGTCAGGCTCCTGGGGCCCCGAGGAGCAGGTCTCGGAGCATAGGGAGAGGAAAGGCAGAAGAAACAGGCCAAAGGAACACTCTAGAAGGGAGCCATGCCTGAGCCCTCAGAAATGCATCTAGGGGAAGGGGCTCTAGGAGGTTCTGGGGGTGGGCCTGGCCTGTGCTGAGGCTGTGCCGCTGCTCAAGGCCAAGGCGAGGGGGCCCTGTTGTGGGGGAGGCCACTGTGGGGAGGCACACCCCCTGAAGAAGGAGCAAACGTGTTCTTGGGGCACCTGCTTCTCTTGCCCCACACCGACCCCACACCAGAGCTTGACCTTGACCTTGGTTCTTAGCCTCAGACTTGGGAACAAAGGAGAGAAGCTGGGCGGCCACCACAGGCCCAGAGGAGATGGTGGTCCTGGCCCAAGGGGGTGTGGACAGCGTCTGTCTGTCTGGAGCAGAGTGCGCCTCGGAAATGTCTCACAGGGACCCTGTACACCGGGTTCGAAGCCAGAGTCCTGAGCCAGTTTGTGAGTGGCACAGTGGGGACTGAGAAGGGAGGCAGGACAGACCTCAGCACCGGGCGGCCCCTCCCTGGGGAGGCCCCCCTCAACGGAAGACCCTGCTCCTGCCAGAGACATCCTTTGGTCCCCCTCCTCCAGGGTAACAGAGAGAGGGAACCAGTTGGAAGGCCTCCCTCCCCCTGCCCCCCTCCAGATCTCCAAAATCAAGTGTCATCAAATCAATCCTCGGTCCTGGAGAGAAAGAGCCACCAGGGTCATCACTGCTGGCCTGGTCTCCCACCCTCCATTCCAAGGAGCTCCAGGGTCCCTCATGTTGTCTGCTGCAGTACTGGAAAAGACCATCTTTAATTTTAATAGTTTTGGAAACACAGGTTCCTTTACTGCAGGACTTCTCAGAGCCTCTAATGGGTCAATGAATACCCGTATCTCCAAGAGGGAGAGAGAGTGTGCAGTGTTTCCCAAACTTAGTTGGCCATGAAACCGATGAAACCTCAGTGGTTCATGGAATAACTATTAATCATTTACACAGTTTGGGAACCACTGCTAAAGAATGCAACTTCCCGGCATCCTTGACAAAAGATCCCTTCAGAGGAGCTCCTAAGCCCATGTGGAGATTGTGCAATGGGTAAGCCCTGCTTCCTGCCACTCGACTGGCTTTGGGCCCTGGCAAGGGGTAAAGGCCTAGGAACCTAGGGGCCTGTAGACTGGAATGGTGACTCCCCTCCCCTGAGGCAGAGGCTCTGACAGCTCAGCAGGGTGGGAGGTGGCAGCGGCTGCAGGGCTGTGGAGAAGAGGGGAGAGCCACTGTTGCCCTCACTTTGTCTCAGAGAGCGTTCGTGGGTGCTGTCCCAGCCTGCAGAGCCTGCTGCACCCCGTGCTGCCCGCCTTCCCCCTTGCTGGGCATCCCATCCCCTCTCACGGGCCCTTTCCATGACTATCCAGAACATACACATGCCCAGGTTATGGTCACTTGGCAGAGACAGGCCCCCTGGCCCAGCTGCAAACTGGGTTAGGGGCCTGGTCTGGAGGCGGCATAGGTGCTGGGCTGGGCCCCACATGGTCCCTCCCTGCCTTCAGAAAGCCTGGGGCCTGGGCTCTGCATCAGCCCCTGAGACCTGCCAGCTTTCGGCTTTGAAGACCGGAGAGTGTGCAACCAAACCCAGCTTCAAAGGCTCCCCGAGGCCTCTTCCCGAACCTCCTCCCACCCCCGACCTCGGCAGGCCCACCCCTTCACTTGCCCGCCCCCCCCCCCCAACAAGGCACACACTGGAAGCTTCTGTGAAGGCCCTAAACAGGGTTAGAGCAAGAGCTGAAAACAGGGGAGGAGCAGGGAGGGAGCCCTCAGGAGCAGGGGAGAGGGAGAAGGGAGAAGAGGGACAAGAAGAAGGTGGGGCGGACTAGGCTGTGGGAAGGGGCGCAGAAAGGAAGGTGTGGGGCAGGGATGGTGCAGGCCTTGAGTTAAAGGACGGAAGTGGGGGTCAGGGAAGGCTGGGGCGGCTCCCCTTCAGGCAAAGCCCCTTGCTGGCAGGCTTGGCCCTGGCCAGGCTAAGACGGAGGGGCACCCAGCCCCACCTCAGCCTAATGGCCTCCCAGCGCAGGCCTGGGTTCAGCAGAGAGGAGCCCTCCAGAGAGAACCCTCATTCCCAGAGCCTCCAGCCAGGTAGGGTGGTTGGTGGCGGGGGGTGCCCTGGGTGTGTCCCAGCGACCATGTGCCGTGGGCTGGCCAAGGTGGTCTGCGGAAGGCAAACCCGCCTCCTTGAAGGGGGATCTCAGAGCACAAGCAGGGAGCCTGGGTGAGGCAGAGGCAGCAAGACAGGCCGTGGGGACCAGAAGTGACAGGGAAGGGAAGAGTCCCCATTGCTCTGCTTCCCAAGTGGCCCAGCACTGAGGTCGGCCCACCTTCCAAGTCACCCTCAGGACACTGGTGAGGTCTTAGAGAAGAGCCTGAGCCCCCTGAGAGAGGGGATCCCAGCCGGGGCTGGGGGGGGCCCTCAGATATGCAGGGGAGCTAGGAGGGTGCTGGAGATGGTGTGTGATATGCGGGTAGATGGAGGAACCAGCAACCAGGGTTGAGGGACGAGGCAGACAGAGCTGGAAGTGACAGTTGCCAGAAAATGGGGAGCTGGAGTCCTTGGAACATGGTGAGGGTCTGCGGGGGGGCGGGGCGTGGGCAGAAAAGCTGGAGCCCCCGAGCCACCCTGAGGCACTAGGCGTGTGCAGGCACGGGGCAGGGAGAGAGAATGGTGCCAACGTGTGAGGGTGTGTGGCCAGCTCTGGGGAGGGGGGAGGCTCCTCCCACTGGGGCTGCGCGTGTGCTCCTGCCCCAAACTGGAAGCCTGGCACCTACTTGATGGTCTTCTTCTCGTTGCGCCCACGCCCTGAGTCTGGCGTGCCCACAGTCTCCAGGGAGTTCTTGTAGCGTTTGCCCTGTGGAGATAGCACCAGGGTCACTCCGGGCAAACAGCACTGCGCCCTCCCTGCCTCCCCAGCACGGGCCTGGGGAGGGGAGCAGGCTGGGGCCCAGCCTTGGCCACAAGGTCCAGGGGCCCACGTGTGAAGGTGTCACCAACCCATGTGGGGGGCCAGCCCCACTGCTATCTGTTCGCCGGCTGGTAGCTCCCTGGCCCATAAGGCTCGAGGACCACCGCTGCCCCTCGAAGGGTACCCCTGACCCCCAGGGATGGGGCCCCTCCCGGCTGCCTGTCTCCTGGGGCTCTGGCCCAGCTCCCAGAAACACATCTCCCTCTGCCACGGACAGACGGCTCTCAGGCGCCTGGCCACGTCACACTGGTCACGTCACCACCCCCAGATGGTGGGGGTGGCATCCTGCAGGGGCAAGGTTGGCAGTGGCCAGCGACGTGAATGGCGGGGGCAGGGAGAGGGCCCTGTGCCCAGTCCGGCCCAGGACCATACCCAGCGTCATCTGGGGGCTCCCTGGGGTCCTCCTGCCTTGGGCAGTGAGGCAGGGCAGGGCCTGAGCACTCTTCTTTATAGGAAGGCAGCCTTAGGAAGAGAGGCTGCCCACTGGCACCCCAGAGTTCCTCACACCAGCATGAGCGGGGAAAGGGCATGGCAGGCCGGGTGGGGGCTCCAGGTCCCCCGGCCAGGGGAAGGGCCGTGGCTGCAGTGGGGACCGGGCCTGCCGCTGGGAAGGTGAGCACCGTTCACCTTCTCGGTTTGGGTTTCTAAATTTAGCTCATGCAGAGCTGGGCACCATTAACATTCCCGGCTGCCACGGAGTGAGCTCCCGCGCACCCACGGGCCACGGGCCTGGGCCAGGCAGCTCAGACACACGCACACGCACACGCACACCCTGATGCGTGCACACACGTTTCCCCAACATCCCGTCCTGTGCTCCCACACCACAGCCACAACAGCCAATGATTCCATCCTCCCTGAAACAAAGTAAGAGCCGCACAGCCGTGTCCCCGACACTCCCACCAGCGGCAGCCCCTTCCAGGGCACGGGAGCCGCCCGCGGAGGGAGCCCGGCAGCGGTGAAGCGGACCCCCAGCATGCTGTGGGTGGAGCGGCAGAGTCCTCGCTCCACCTCCAGCGCCCCCAGGTCTCAGGGGTGCCTGGGTCCTGCTCCCGGCAACGCCGCACCCTCCCCGTGTCACCCTTGTCAAGTCCCTTGTCCTCTCTGACCTCCTTTTCCTCCTTTCCGAAAAGGGGTACTTGTCACCGGATGAGCCCCAGGCCCCTCATCCTTCTAGGCTCTCATCACAGATATGTCTAGCTCTCTCCTGACTTACTTCAGTGACCCCAGCTCCTGGGGGAACGCAGCCCGAAAGGGCAGGGACTGTCTGGTCTCTAGGTACCCAGCAGTTCTCAGAATGGATAGCGTGGGAGTGTCCCCCCAGTGCCCCCTTCCCACCGGGGGTCTCAGCCCCGGGCTCTTGCCTCCGAGCCAAAACTTTTAAGAGTGGAAAAAAACGGAGCTGTTGGATCCTCCGAGTCCACAAAAGCTGCCCTCTCTCTGCTCCAGCTGTCTCTCCCCCATCATTACCCAGAAGTTCAAATCCCCAGTAATGCCCAGTCCGGACTGGGAAGATCAGGACCTGGAGCTGCCCCACGCTGGCCGAGGGCCCTTCTCTGGGCAAGACACAGGGAGGGTCCCCCCCCCACCTGCTCCCCCCAATCTCCCCCTACCTCAGGCAGTGTGGGGCAGGGAGGACCTGCTGAGGGCCCCCCAACCCCACCCCTCAACCCCTCTCCTCTTTCTCCCTAGTCTTGGCAGGAGAACTTGGCCTAGGCAGCACTTTCTTCTAAGGTGGGTCAACCGCCCCTTCCCCAAGGCCAGGCATGGCCGGGTGGGCTGTCCCCCAGTTCATCCAGGGCCTGCCCCTCTTACTTCCACAGCTCAGGGAACCTTCCCCTCTGGCTACAAGGATCACTCTGCAGCAGGAACTGTGGGGCTGGGGGTGGGGGAACAGGAGCCAGGGCAGGACTTGACTCGGGGCTCGGGGCAGGCAGGGTGAAGTTAAGGGGGCAATGACAGGAAACCCAGGCAGAGTCCAGGAGACACTGGACGGCTCAAAGGGAACCCAATACCACCAGCCTGCTTCTCAGGGAGGGGGTTGGCCAGGCTGATCTGGAAAAAGCCAGCTGGAGATTAAGGAAGTTATTAATGTTTGGAAATGGGATCTGGACTGTCGGGGTATCACATCACTGCTGCTGAGGGGCCGGGCAGGCAAGGAGAGCCCAGGAACTGTGCAAGGGCCACGTGAAAGCCCCTCCCGGAAAGCACAGAGACAGCCCAGGCAGAAAGCTCCCCAGCTCTTCAGATGTGGGGGGCAGGGGAGGAGTTGTGAGAGGGTTGTGGGGCTGGGCAGCTCAGGGGAGAAAGTTGCAGGGGATAGACCAACCGACTATGGCTGGGACTCCTGGGGAAGTTTCTGGCTGGAGGCTGGGAGGAGGGGCTGGGGCCAGGGGCAGTGCCTCCCGCACTGGCGGGGGGGGGGGGGGGGGGGGGGGCAGTCCGCCCCCTGCTACAAAAGCTGTCATCTGTGAACACTGGTCCCCAAGTGAGTGGGGTGGGGGGGAGGCTCTCACCACAACACACACACACACACACACACACACACACACACACACACACACACA